TCCATGCACAGCTCTCTTTTGCAGCATATGAGGGACGTCAGACGACGTCTCAGCTGTCCCACTGAGCCAAGTCGAGCCTATCGCATTCCGGGTGGCGGCGGCCTCGGCCCAGGGCGAGTCAGAGGCTGTCCGAGTCAGAAGCCCTTCTATCCCTTCTCTAATGGCAGTCGCGATCTCCTTGGTTGGCATCTGCTGGCGCAGACTCTGCTCGAAAAGCCCCCCCGCAAACCGAGCCCTTATCAGCCCTTCAGCATCTTCCAGCAACCCAACAAAACTTCCCACCAATGTGTGGCGCCTCTGGAACCCTAAGCTGGGCCGGTGGAATGGGAAACTTCTCTTGCGTTCAACAGGCATCGAGTTGGGCCGAGGGGCATTCCTGGCGGCAGCGCCCTGGCACTGGCAGGCATGGATGCTTGCGAATGCGCGTGGAGAGGCTTAAGAGGAAAGGGCTTTCTGGGCAGCAGGGAGGCTGGAAGCCCTGAACATGTTGCGGTTGCGCGGGGCCGAAGACATGTACATTTAACATGGCCTGCATGGCCGAGAAATGCATCCACCCGAACAAGACTGTGTTTCTTTTTTCTGCGCGAGGGGAGTCCTGGTGTGCTAGGACTCTGCGGGGAAAGAGGGGGCTGCTCTTGACTTTGTCACGACTTTGGGTAGTGGGTCCAGCTGTCGTTCTGCCTGAGTACGAGGACTTCCGGCTGCCATGCTTTGCATATTGGCTCGAGGGCTGCGGGGTCGGGCTTCCAAAGAATTGCAGCCAGCACAGGGAATCCCAAGAAAAGCAGCCACTTCCTAAGGAATCCCCAAGAAAAGCAGCCACTTCCTCACAAATCCCCCAAGGAAAAAAAAATGAAAAAAACATCGTAGGCAAAGCAGTCCCCAAGTTGCGGGCCCTCCCGCACGTGGCGCACCACTACCGGGGCCCTCCTGGACATGGGACCATGGGCGGACTGCCCCAATCTTTGGTTTGAGGGTCAGGCTTACCGTACTTTTGGGGGGGGCATACGTCTTACTCTGTTCTGAATACGACTCGAAGGAGGACGGTTTGGTGTGGAGGAGTCGGAGGTTCCTGCTTCACCGCGAAGGGTGCACGCGCGCCAGACACATGCGCATGCGCGCGTGCGCGCCAGACACATCCGGACACTTTCTTTGGGGGGTTCTGGGTTCACATCCGGGGGATCTAAGCGTGCGTAGCCTTGTTGGACATCATTGCTCGAAAATCCGTCGGCAAATGTCGGCATCGTGCGGCCTTGGGCCGGTTCGCCGCGATCAATCGCTCGGCTGCAGAGCCATGCCTGATAGCATTGTGTCGTGACGGGGCTTGACAGCAGGTAGGATGCGTAGTCATACACTGTTCATACTGTACACTGTTCATAGTGGAGACCTTTGATGCCCTGGACTTCCAGCCTCTCTCCCTTGGTCTCTTTCTTGTACGCGTAGGACACGCTGATGGGCCGATTGCACAAGAACTGCCTGAGCGGGACATGCACTGGAGCAGCGTACCCTCGCGCTTGTCACTCCGTTTCAGTTGTGAGGGTGTGTCAGAAGGCCGGATTGCGAAACCAGCCCTTTCAGTACAATCCAGCCCTTTTCAGTCCAGAAGCCTCATTGGTTCGGATGTATGATGTATACAGTATTAAGTAGCCTGAAGACGTAAGAGCTTTGCTTGCCACCAGAGGATGCAGCGAATTCAACTGGCTCTATAGCTCAGAGCTGGACCCGTTCATTCCTGCCAGCGCTGCATCCGATGCCTGTGAATTCCACGCAAAAATCTGAGAGAGCCGAAGGCAGTGTCGTGAGCCGACTGTACATATAAAGGCGAAAGGAGCAACTTGGCCCTGCATTAGCTTCTTGAGTGGCTCGCATCTTTGAAAACGAAACAAGACCTTCTGACACTGAAGCTTGTCTTGAAAACGTCACTGGACAGCTTCCGACCACTTCCAAACGATGTGCGCCTCGAAGGTGTCGTAGGAGATGAATCCGAAGCCACGCGAGACGCCTTGCCGAGGCTGGTAGCTTTTAAATGCCGAGAATGATCGGAAAGGGTCATGTGTCGCGCTGGGCATCGCATGGTGTGGGCTTCATGAGTCTGCCACCAGCGTGCGATGGACTGATTCACGCACCGAACTGGTTCATGCTTTTCCACAAACCGAAGGTTTTGTGCATGGGAAAATCCTGTGCAGGATGCTGCGGGCCTTTTCGACATGATTTTAGGGTAGCAGAGACGATGCTCACGGAAAAATGCGACACCTGCTGCATGGGCCTACTTGGCCTACTGGAACGAATGCTTGTACGGATGATTGCGCTCGTGCTGGTACCTTTGCTGTACATCTGGGAGGCTACTGTGGCTACGGCTTCCAAGCCCTGCTCGGAAACTTCACCCAGCGCCTGTGTCTGGGTCGCGCATCACTTTGGCAAAGAGCAAAACCTCAGGCTTTAAGCACGCAGGTCACAGGCGAAATAGAAAAAGGTAAACTCTGCAGCATTGTCTGCAGAGTCTCCCTACGTGGGCACTCCAAGGATACTCTGTGAAAGTTCTCAACGAGGGGGAGGGCACTCCAGCGGTACTGTGTGGGATTCTCTGCCGGGATACAGAGTGGCCTTCTTCGTGGGATTCTCTGAGATTCTCTGTCCAGGAGGCGAGGAGTGCAAAATGGTAGTACCCACGAGGGGAGAAGAAGCTGACAAACAGAGATATCGGAGAGACAGCGGAGAGACAGCGGAGAGACAGCGGAGAGACAGCGGAGAGAAGCGGAGAGAAAGCGGATCGAGAGCACTGCAGGGATCAAAACACCGAAGACAGGAAGAGGAACTAAACGCATTCTCAGAACAACTGTCTCAGTTTCAGCTCATTATAGTTGCACTGGTTCCAAGGGTGCGTTTAAGAATGAGATGACGAGTTTAGCATTTCCTTGACCCTGTCTTGGTGAACCTCTCTCGCCTTGCGAGAGCCACAGCACTTCAAAGCAGCACTTCAAAGCATCTGGCCCCGAAGGCAGAGAAGGTGTCGTAAAGCATCCTCAGCGTCTGCTTGGAGCAGACTCCAAGAGGGTCGAGCACGAAACCCCGTGCCTTACCAAAGTGACCCTACAGACCCCCCCAGACGGTGTGCGCAGGACATGGCAGCCTGCGACAAGATGCAACAAAAATGCAACACGCACTGCAATTCCAAGCGTCTTCTCGTCGACCTGCCAGCACCGGATGGCCGGCAGTACCAAGCGAAACAAATTGCATGTGTGGGGCCAATGGAGGCCTACTACTCAAAAACCCCTAAAGCAGGCCGCAGCATCAGAGCAGCGCTTCTCGTGCCTCTGGCTCAAGGTTGCCAATGAAGAGGTTCGCACCGACCTGGCACAAGAGAGGTACTTATAACCTCTCCCTTCGCTCCTGTCAACTCCCGCTCCCAAGATGCCTCGTTCGTCTTTTTGTCCTGGGAGGACTTGTTGCAACGGATGGGCTTTCCAAACAGCCTGCAAGGCGAGAGGCGTGCTTGAGCCCAGAATGGGCGCGACCTTCTCTGAGGTAGGCCCTCCTCTTGCGCACCAAAACAGCGCAAAACACAAGCACAGCATATCGGGGCGAACTTAACATCTCCCGTGCGGATTCGAAGACTTTGACTCTTCAGGGCTCTTATGGGGGCCGCGCATCCCTCGACAGAGAGAAAGGGAGGGAGGGGAGGGCTGAGAGCCTGATCATGTTCATGATCTTGATAGCATAATCTGCATCTTCCTCGTTCTTGAACTCTACGAAGCCGTACCTGGGGAAGAGGGACAGAAAAACGGACCGTGGGCGAGTGGGAAAGAGTGGGAGAGTGGGAGAAAGCACGGAACTTGCAAGTCATAATGGCCGCAGAGCTCGCCCTGAATTCGTTCTTTTTCGTCCGACCGCTCAGCGCTCACAGCACTCCTTTGGCAGTTGGAACAGATTCGTCCAGGGGATGCTCTCGGACCTGAGACAATCTGAAATTGGCTGCTTGGCCGAGTTGGGGAAAAACTCATCTAGGCACGAATCAGGTCTGAAGCACCAATCTGTATAAGGAACCCTATATGCATTCACAGCGACACCAGCGACAGTAGTACATGTACATGTTCTTGTATATACATATATACATATATGCATATATACATATAGACATATAGACATATAGACATATATACATATATACATATATACACATATACATATATATATATACAAAATACAAGATAAAAATGTATATATATATATGTACATAAAAGTATATATATATATATATATGTATAAATGCTGCCTGAAAGGCCACAAAGCCAGCATCTGCCAGTCGGACTTTTCGTCGGGCTACACTTCATGGCATCTCTTGGGGGCTATCTCTTTGGGCAACTTCAGACGCGGTAGCATCTGTTCTGCATCCAAGAAGCTGGGAGTCGGACCAGGAACTGTTCCGGGCAGTCGAACGAAAAATGCGCGCTGAATCCCCAGACTCAGCCCCTCGAAAATACAACTTCTATCCTCCAAATCCTCCCCTTGTTCCAAACTCGCCCATGTCTACCATCGTGAGGGACGCTCGCGGCAATTGCTGCAGCAGGAGTAAGGCTCATCCAAGTAGGGATAGCATTCCGTGCGCCCACCTTAGGCTCAGGGCAAGCTCAAGCATTCCAAGTCTCGTGCAACACAAATTTGAAAGGTTGACAAAGACTCGCCGCTTGCCTTAGAGACGCTAGCTGCTCTGCGTAAACCCGAACAATAGCGTGAGCAAAGAGATGTATTAAACGTCCTGTGCTATTCTTGGATGCAGGTACAATAGGAGCAGCGCCAGGTCTGCATCCAGCGATGCAAAGGGCTGCCCTCGACAGCTTTCTCTCGCAGGACCAAGTGGGTGTCCTGGGACTCGCAACTTAGCCAAAAATTCCCAAACTCCAGCGCTCGGCCGTGATGCCGAAGCTGCGTATAGAAAATCTTGAGGCGCTGACGAAGTGAGCTCTTGCACAGGTTGCTCTGACAGATTTTCGCTCAGCTGGTGTCTCCCGTGCTCGCCGGGTCACCAACCCCACTTCTCCCTCTACTCCATCTGCGGGCAATCCCCCCGAGTCATCTCAACAGTGCCCCCACCTGCCAATCTGTTCTTAGGGCGTGGGCGGGGGGGACGCTCGAAGTACATTCTGAGGAGTTCTTATTCAGTCTTCATCGTTTTTTTTGGGGCAACGCACAGATGTTGGAATTGCTTGGTCGATGCATGAATGAGCTGACTCGTGGAGCTGAATCTAGGACTGAGCATGGTCCAAGAGTCGGTCTTGCTCTTCCCCACGAGCATGTACCCCAAGTCCTCTAACTCAGCAACCACTGCAGACTCCTCAGGGCTTGGAGACGGGTCTGCAATCCCATGATGGGCCATGTCCAGAGATCTGTTCCAGGCCATCTTACAGGGCAGGACTCCATCAAAGCCAAGTTGCATCCGAGCCCCCGCCGCGCTCGTTCGACAGGCCGTTGCTCTCCTTCAACATCATCAACGTAAAGCTCACTGCGAGACGCCCCGTATGCCCCCAAAGGCCGACCCCGGCGGAAAGCGCCAACGCCCCTCTGCCCTCTCTGAGTTTCGGGCGAACTGGATGAGCCACGGTCGCTCATCAGGGCGCCACCAACCTCAGAATTTTAGGTCCCCGCAGTTCGTCAAAGGTCATCTGCAGAGACCGAGTCCCCTTTATGAGCATGATTTGACATCCTGTAAGCCTGGGCTTTTGAGGCAGACCGCCTAGACCGCCAAAGCCTTCAGAGATTGAACCAAACACCTTGGACCTTCAACCCCTACACAGGCTCCTCATTACGGAGACCCCTGCCTGTCACCAGACCCGCGGAGGGGTCTCTAGTGTGAAGTGAACATAAAGGCTCATCGCAGCCTGAACTGGGCCTTAAGAAAAAGAACGCAAAAAAACTGGCATCGCTCGAAATCGCTTGGGGGGGACATCTTGGCGTCATGAGATGCCCCCGCGGAATGTTTGCTGCGCTTTCCGCAGGTGCTGCACAGCGTAGCACGGCGTAGCAGCGAGAGTGGCAGCGAGCGAAGCAGCAAACACGGAGGTGGTGATGGAAGCTCACCGAGATGGCTGCTACTGAACCCTGATGTGATTGAACTGCACTTGGCTGCACAACGGTGCCCTCACATCTCCTCCCAGCATCCTACTGGTCCGACTCCCGAGTTGGATGTCGAGCAGCAGTGATACGCCATTGACCGCAAGATTTCCTTGGCCAAGAAAGGCACAGGAACGGCAGAACCCCCCCCCCCTCTTTGCTTGCGATTTGCATCGACACCCATTTCGGACGGAGCCGCGACATCACAGCCCTCTGTGTCAAGGACGAGCACCTCACAGCCATGGAAGCCTTGGGCACGCGGAAAAGTGGGGCGCAAACTCTGAGAAAATTGTACGAGGCCACAAAAAGCAACGTAGCAAGAGGCGGTCCAAGGCACCCATTTCCCTCGCCAACCGCCTCCAACTCCACAGCTGCACCTCAAAGAACTAGCTATGGGGGGGGGGGGGGGGGGGGGGGGGGGGGGGGGGGGCATCTTTAGCCTCTTGCTCCGCTTGCTTTCTGTCCGTCACTTGCGCTCGCACACGGCAAAAAACACGCGAAAAGGCGTGGGACGCCCAAGTGCCAAGGAGCGGTGTCTTTGCGCAGAGGGACTGCCACCTCTCGCCAGAAGCGAGCAAGAACCGAAAGGACGATCTTCAGGAACTCTTCAGGATGTAGGGAAGGGCTTCACTGCTGCACTCAAAGCGTTGCGAAGTCCGAGCGCCTCTGCCTTGTCAACCAGCCGGGAGTGGAAATACCTCGGCCCCCAAAACAGCCAAAGAGCAAAACAAGAGCGAAGGAGGGCGAGGGCAGAGGGCAGAGTAAAAAAAGAACCTTATATGAAGAGAAGGCCCTAATGACATCCCATGACCTAGACACCAACTCTTTGTTGTCGTCTCGTTGTCGTCTCGTGGGTGTGGGCACTCGGCTACTTCTCTTTTGCTATCTCAAGCTCGGTTGCTCCAAGTGTGAGGAGATGTCGCCGACGCAAGACATGTTGCGCAAGTAGCTCATGTCCCAGTCGTAGTGCTCCTGAAGTGTCCAAAAAAACGCCTTCAAAAAACAACTAAAGAACGGCACAAAATATGTCTCTGAACTATGGACCGACTAAAGCCCCTCGCGATCGAATCGAAGGTGGGGAAGCCAGAAACGTGCAATCGCGCAATCACACGCAGTGGACATGAGAACATGTATTATATCATATACTACGCAGCACATTTAATCATGTCCCACTGCTGCTTCCCCTGCCGGGCCCCTGCCCTGTGAACTGGTCTGCCGGGACACGCGCTGCGCCACGCTCATGGCCGCCAGGGCCTCCGGCGCCGCCGCCTCGACTCGCCAAAGCCTGAGAGCACGAGCTGAGAGCACGAGCTGAGAGCCGAGCCCAAGAGGGGAGAGAAGCTGACTCAAAGAGAGAAAGGGTGGGAGAGATCAGGAGTGGGAGAGAAGGAGTGGGAGACACATTGTAGTGGGCCCCTGAAGAAGATGACGGGAGTCAAGCAGTGCTGTCGAAGGATGGCCTTTGCGCAGGTGGATCTCAGAAATGCCCTGACATCATGTCATGGCTCTCAAGCCCTTCTCACAGAAGGGCGCAGCAAGGCTGGAGTGCGATAAGCGCGGCGAATCTGGGGGCTGTGAGCCTGGTGTCCCCCCATCATAGCGGCTTTGATCATCCAGACCGACGTTCCCTTGCAGATCCCTGGAAGGCCTCAAAACATCTCAAAACTCACCGCATCCTGGCCGCTAGCCATGATTCACTCGTCACCGAGCCGTCATTTCAGCCCTAACAATATGAATGAGCAGGAATGAGAAGGAGAAAAAAGGTGATGATAAAAGAGCTGAGAGAAGTCCAGAACAAGAAATCCAGCGTTTTAAGTGCGATGTCCAGGGATGTCCCTAAGTAGAAGTCCCCCCTGCGAACAAAGCCCCAGCCACTCTTTCCGAGACTGTTCCGAGTGGCGGCACGGTTCCGTCCCACTGGCCCAAGGCGACCTTTGCATTCTGAGAAACTGAGAGCAAAAGCTGACATAAACACTTAGAAAAGACCCTTTCGGTGGGACGCGCAACACAGAATTCGCACAGCACCGGACTCGCGCACCTGCACCAGTGACACATTGGCAAAGCGCCCCTGGCGAAGCAGGCTTTCAGCATCCTCGAAATGCTTTCCTGAGCGTTCACAACAGTGAGTGTCAACAACAGTGAGTGTCAACAACAGTGAATGTTCACAACAGTGAGTGTTCACAATGGGGGTGTGAGCCGGCGATGGTCTAGTCTAGGCTTGGAGGGCGGAGCTCTAATGTTCTCTTATCATGTTCTCACTTTACGTGCCTTGCAACTCTGTCCCATCTTGTGATTCACGTCCCCCCTCCCTCCCTCCCTCCCTCCCTCTCTCCCTCCCTCCCTCTCCCCCTCCCTCCCTCCCTCCATCCTTTTGCGTTGTTGTTGTGATGGTGGTGCTGGTGGGGGCTTTGGTTGCTGTGACTGGCTGTCGATGAGGAGGGCCCTTGGTTCTCCCTGTGTTGAATCATCCATGCTTGAATGTGGTGTATCGCTGTACGAGTAGTGATGTGTCCTGCTGCTTGCTGTTCAACAAAGGGCACCCTGTCAGCGGCTGGTTTGCTGGGGTCTGTTTGCCTTGGGTGTCCCTCGCCATTGGCCCCTGTATGCAGTTGCAGTGCGTCCGCTGGGTGGACTGTGTCTTTCTCTCCTCCTCTTCTTCTTCTTCTTCTTCTTCTTCTTCTTCTTTTTCTTCTTCTTCTTTTTCTTCTTCTGCGCGCTTGAGAGGACCTCTCTCTCTCTCGCTCTGCACGCTTAGCCCCCCCGGAGGGAAAGCTGTTTCTAGGGGAGCGCAAGTTCCAAGTGTCAGTCGGTGGCATGGGCCACGGTTTTCGCGGCCGAAATACTGGGTCGGGGCTTTCTGTCTGAAGATGGGGTGATTTCAGGTCAAAGTGTCGGTGTGAAACTACCCTACATGTGTGAACACGTGTGAACACGTGTGAACACGTGTGAACATGTGTGAATACGTGTGAATACGTGTGAATATGTGCAAATACGTGCAAATACGTGTGGCGGATTCCCAGCGTCTGACGGGCTCAACGGCAATGCCACGCAGCTCCCGTTGGTTCCAGTATCCGCCTCAGCGGAATGGGCCCAACCAGGCCATCTCAAAGGCATTCGGAACCACTTAAAAAGACTGAAGATATCTTGGCGATATTTGGCGTTGAGAGCAACGGTGGTGGCACAGCGCAGCCCAAGTCACACCAGCACCAGTGGATTTTGCGGGCTGTGAAGAAGTGTTGGCAAAAGGTGGTGTCTGTCTTGAAGTCAGCTGTCTTTTGCACTGGGTAGTTGCATTCTCTGCCGCTTTTCAGTCTCAGCTAACGTGAAGCCTGGACACTGCAGGCGGAGAGGAGCCACTTGATGTTGACGCTTACCTGTTCCAAGCTTAACTTTCAGGGAGTCCGACTGGGTAGAAGCAACAGCAATCATTAAAGAATTGGCGTGGAGCATACTTTTGAGATCTAGTTGCGTCATGTGAGATTCAAGCTTCGGGCGTATGAACCTGTTGAAGGATGGCGTCTTTGGTATTGGTCTGGGCCTGCTTGTGGCCGATTCGTGCGAACCCTTCTGCAGATCTTCTTACATTAGCTTCCGGCCCAGGAGCCCTGACGGCAGAACTCCCCGCAGAGAACCCCACAGGATCCCGCCAAGGATCCCGAGAGAAGCCACAGAAGTCCACACGAAAAGGAAGGCCCCCCCAAGAGGAATGATGGGAGCATCCCAGGAGTGCCCCCTTCTTCCAGGCATCCTCCACACCTCCTGCCAGGCGTCCCGACTCCGGGGGTTTGGGGTTTTTGCAGTGTGACTCAACTTAATTTTGGTGTTCGGATCTTGCTCTTGGGGCACTTCGCTGCAGACATGGTGTGGATTGGTCTGCGCAGGAAGAAGATGGTCAAAGATCCCCATGGGGGGGCCTCTCCAGGTTGACCCACGAGCTCGTGCAGGAACGTTCGATTATCCCCAAGGCCGACCTGGGATCAAAGCGTACTCCAAGCAGGTCAACAGCAGCAATGCCAATTTGACAACGCATTGTGCCTGGACCACATGAGCCCGCTCGCCACGGGGGTAGTAGCCAGCCCGGTAGACCTGTCCTTGGACATTCAATGTGCGTACGGCCAGCTCACAAATGACTCTGCTTAACCTCCAAATGAGGACAGAGCTATCTGCCAACCCTCCGTCTCCTATACAGGGGGCTCCCGCGTACTCTGACAAAGGCCCAACAGACTAAGAACCTTAAGGACCTAATGGCCATGGCCTTGGATAATTTTCAGGTCGGCCCACGAGGCTCTGAGAACTACGGGGACTGCCAACACTTAGGCTTGGAGGGCGCTGATCATCCACTCTTTCGCAACCGCGGCGCCTTCAAAGCTCATCGTTGAGCCACAGCAAGGCCAGCATTAAACGCAGATCTAGCTGGAACAATGCCTATAAGATTTCTAGGGCTCGCACTACCTCACTACATTGCTGTATCTGAGACTGGCCATTACCCCCTTCGCGAGCTGGAACGGTGGAACTTGGGAATAAGAGGGCATTGCAGGAGCTCTCGCCACAAGCTTCTGGGTGAGGGATCTGGAGTTCTTTTGGGGTTCTTTTGGGGTTCTTTTGGGGCTCTTTTGGGGCTCTTTTGGGGTCATTTTGCCTACTTTGCTTTCTCAAGCCTAGGCGAGCAGAGTCGGTTCACCGAGCCCTGCAGAAAAAGGCTGCGGCAGATTGACAGACTTGACGAGCCGTCGCACAGTTTGACGGAACATGCTCACACAAGGATGCAGGAGGTCACGCCGTGGGTCATGCCGAGCTCCAGGCCGAAGAACACAACCACACGGCGACAATAGGCAAACATAAGCAAACACTCTGCTGCCACTTCTGCTGCCCCTTCAGCGAGGAATGCGGCGGGGGAATGCAGGGGGGAGGGGCACCCCTGGTGCGTCGTCGTGATCTTATCTCTCGGCAGGTGGAGGTTGGCAACCGGTCCACACCTTCAGTGCTTTGAAGTTTTCTCAGCTGAGCCAATCTCTAGTCAACTCTGCACGAAGAGGAATGCCTTCGTGCGCAGCGCGAACAGCTGATCAAGCTTGGTCGGATTACTGAGGATCTTCGGATATTCGATGCTCACTCTGTCGCTACACGCAGTTGCGAAAACCGTTTATTAGGAAATGTGCAGAGAGCTTTCGGGCTTTCGCCTCAGGAATGCTTCTCAGCAATTGCGATCCTGTCCCTGTGCTGCCCAGGCACTGCACCATAAGCTCCCAAAGGACCTCCGCAGCGAGCTGTTGAGCTTCGCGAGAAGTCAAAGGGTTCGCCGACGTCTCCACGCTCGACAACCCACAAACCTCCCTTGACACGACGAAAGCTAGGACCCCGAAGCTGCCATCTCTGTTCAGGATTTGAGCTCTGCAGGCTTTAAGTCCTCAGGCCCGGGTAGGCTTTGCAGAGCTTTCCTCACTATGTGTTTAAATGTTCGGTTGGGAGGGCGAGGCGAGGAGGGGGGGGCAAATATGTCGGGCCCCCCTTACTTGGCAACTTCCCCATCGGTCGCATTACTCGCACAGCGTGAGCCGCCCCACAGCGCCAAGCTCTCCGACACCAGAGGCCTCCTCATCGATCTTGGGGTCCAGGTTTCCCACATATATAGTAGCCTGCGGAATGATGACTGCCAGGGCTTGAGCAGAATGATTAAAAACACCGCACGACACAAAGACGGGGACATCGCCCTGCCGAAAGGCACCCCTCCCGAAGACGGCGCTCCAAAGAGCGAAAGGCACATCACACGACAGCAAGCGCATCAAACAACCCTAAACACAAGCTTCGCACAACGACTGTCCCTGGACACAAGATGGAGAACCTTGCCTAGAGACCCTAAACACAAAGTTGATGCTCTTGAAACCGCCTTCCAAAACAACCAAGCTGCTTCTGGCTAAACCTTAAGTACTGTCATCCACAATGCGATGCTTTTCAACGTGCACGACGCCTAGCCTCCTGGTTCCTCTCGAAGATCTGCTGGATGCCGCCTGGGGCTGCTGGCGGCTGGGCCATGAGCCTGCGAAAGACGAGGGGAGATGAGGAGTTTTTTCCCATTTCTGCACTGATTTCACCCTTTTTGCGAAGACCTCTCCAACAAGCAGGACACCCTTCGTCCCGGCCTTCGTTTCCAGCCAGACCGCCGGACCCAGCCAGACCCCCAAGTGCTTGGGGCAGGGGAAACGCTGCGACGTCCGATGACGCAACATATGGAGATTCAAAATTCGTCGCTCTTCAGCTGCAACTACACACAGGAGGGTACAAGAAGTATGCGCTGCCGCCAGGGCAGCAGACAAATCGGAGCCCTGTCATTGGGTAATATGGAGCGACGTGCAACCGCAACATCCTGCAGCACCATAGTCTTGACCTAGCCAAGCCATGCTTTTGCCAGAAAAAACAATGACGAATGCTTTCCTGGAGGACACAGCATGCACTTTATTCACCGCGCATTCACGGCAGAACGAATCCTTTCGTAGCTTACGAAGAACGTGGCACACCAAACCAACTTTCCTGGGATGGGATGGGGCAGGGCATCTCATGGGGATGGTATCTCATGGCTCGGCGTAGAAGGAGTGGGATTGAAGCTATGACGGCAAGCTCAAGAATCTTAAGAATTATGATGGTATCGTGTCGTCCTCTTCTTCTTTCTAGCAAAACTACCACGGCCGCAGATCCGACAGCGCCAGTGGCAACCCCTCAATGTGGCTGACTGAGAACCTCCCCGTCGACCTTTTCGATGCTTTCACTTCACTCGAACCCGGAACTTCCGGAACCCCACGAACCTGCTTGCCGACTGAGTCACGAACGCAGATTGGGAGGAACCCCTGCGTCGGAATTCTTGCACTCTGCAGCATGGAAAAAGCATCTGCGCTACAGTCACGGTTGAGGATGAGGCTGGCTTCAAACGCATCAAAACAATGGCTCTTCGCGAAAATTTGAAGCTCACATGAGCCATGGCACCTTGTACAGTGCGCGCACGCCCTCCTCCGTCAGAATGCTTTCAGCCGCATGGAACATGCCTCGACAGGGATGCAGTCCGAGACTGACGTCTGGGTGCTGCGCTCACCGAACTGTTCTAAACGAAACAATCAAGTGTACCTTTGGCCTGATGGTGTTTAGATGTGCTTAGGGGCAACGTTTACAGACTGGACTGTCAGCCGTCGCTACTGGTGCCCGCTGGTGCCTGGTGCTGATCAGCCCTAAGCCGTGACTCTAAGAAACGACGACTCGCAGAATCTTCTTTGTTTGAAGGCTTAAGGGCTTAAAGAATGCTTTTAGAATGCCAATCTGGGGGTGGCCTTGAGTCCAAGGATATGCAAAGGGCTCCAGTCAGGTCCAGGCCTCGATACTGCTTCTCACCCCCTGCTGAGTTCCTCAGCTTCTCAGCGCTTCACTCAATTTCAGAGCTGACTTTGCGTGACACGCAACGCTCACGCTGTTGCCCGCTCGCATTTCTTTCTGGCACGAACGACATCGAACGACAGATTTCGCCGACCCTGCCCGTCTCAGTTGCATCGCTGAGCTCTGCGTTGGCTCGAATCCGACACGACCCCGGCCCTACGACCGCGCCTTTGCCTGTGTGAACAAACAGAAGCACAGCAAACGATGTCACTAGTGGTTTGGCCGATTTGGCAGTGCTGCCAAGCTAATGCACAGAAACACATGCGTTAACATCTTCAGAAGTCCAAACTCGCTTGAGATTTTCGGAGTACACGTTTCCAGCACGTGGACAGGGAAGCTGTCTCCCAACAGGTCTCCTCGTGGCGACAAGCCACGCTGCCTTCGCCATGAAGCCATCGTCTTATGCTCACCATCACGCCGGTCCAGGATGCGCAGATATGCCCGGCAACGCCGGCGTTTCTCGGCCCAACGGAATTGGGTTGCCTTCCCAGCTTCTGCAAGACAGCACACCATCACAATCGATGGACTTCCAAGGCATATAGAAGTCATCGAACAGGAACCTGGGGCAAACAAAGGACGCCACCGGCAACGCCCTCACAAAACATCCGGAAGCAGGCCCCTCAGGTCACTCAACGAAGAGGAAAAGGTGTGTACTTGAGCGACGTGGACAAAAACGCTGTCTGTCTTCTCGCTCCATCTTTGTCCTTCACCCTCTTCCCGATTCCGCGGTGGCACAGGCGCAACTTACAGAGCACTGCTCTCCTCTGAAGCGCTCTGCTGCTCGGGGGGCGGGCACCTCCAAGGGGTTCATGGCGGTACTGTTCATTACACGTCTCGACTCAAAATACCGGATTCTCCCCCGGCTCACCGTTCTCGGCACTGGGCATAACACAAGTGAGCACGGCTGAGCACTGAACTCACCCCCAACCTCCCCCAAAACCCCAAAAACACACTCTGGCAACCTTCCCCGAAACAAGAAACAAATCTGGGCACTCAAGGCAAGTTCTCTGTTCAGTGGCTTACGCTCTTCCCAACACAAATATATACGAACCTCCAAGCCACATCAAGCAGGGTGCAGTGTATTACCCCCGAAGGACACCCAGTTTTTACACTCACCAATATGTACATTGATGCCTATATACAATCACCAAAAACAGCAATGTTTTAAAGCCCTGTTTCACATGCCTTTGTGAGATTTGTCTCTCGCTCTCCGCGTCTGTCTCTGTCTGCAGCAAACATCTTTCTGCCGAGCGTCATCAGCCGTGTCTTTACGACGTCTGCTGGGGTCGACACACACGCGGAGGTGAAGCCTGCAATGCCGGATGCTCCGACCTGGTCAAGCCGGAGACCTCTCTCGCTCAAGCGCATGTGTTTAGTTGATGGCCCTTCAGCTTGTGTTGCCTTCTTTTATGTCTTTTGCTTCATGCGGTAGCCGAAGCTTTCCAACAACAGCTCTCAGGGCTAGTGGATTCTTGTATGGGGTTCAGGTGTCACAGGCACAGGCATTCTCACATTTGCAGTTGGCGCCCAGGTGCATGAGACACGAGCCCGTCGCCGAAGTACGGCTTGAAGCGGCTCTTCGCCTGCACCAAGGCACGAAGCCCGTGACACCCCATGGCCGCCTTCGACATTCGAGATCATTCGAGAGCCTGCCTCGTCATAGGTACCAAGCTCGGCAGCATTGACCAGGAACGTCCGAGCGACATTTGGCCGAACACCTGCTGCGAAAGCTTGGCTCCGAACAGCGGATGAGAAGGCCCCCTCTTTCCGTGACACGCGCATTCAAGACAGGATACGCAATGAGTCTATATATATATATGCATAAATATATATATATATATATATACAGCTCGATTTCATGAGTTTTTTCAATAAAGATGCTCCGCGCGGTGCTTCGCGGATGTTCTCGTGCCTGCCCAGAAGCCCGCGACGCCATCCTGCTGGTTAGGCAAAATGGCGGCTCCACGCTGACTCTTTCTGTTTTTGAGACTTGCAAACTCAGAAGGAGGGGTTCGACGTCTAGAGACTGCCCGCCGGTGGAGATGGTGGTGGTGTTCTTTGCAACCAGAATATGGACCACAAGTAGACACACACCTCAAAGATGTTGCTAGCATTCTGTAGCATTCGCCACCTGCAACGATACCTCCTTTTCCTTACGGTGCCCTGCAAGAAACATCTGCCTAGCAACCACAGCACGTATGGGTTTAGGTCAGTATGTTTTGGGTTGGCCAGTGTCGGGCTTGTAGGGATACCAAAGATAGAATAGGCCTGAGATGACTGCTAGGTGGGTTTGGGCTGGATTGGGTCAGCTTTCTTGGTGACCTAAGCAGGTACGTCCAGGTCGTTTTGGTGAACTGCTTTTCGCCGCTTGGGTTCTTGACTCGGACCTCACCCAAAAACATCCGTCCGGGGCGTCTTTCTCGTGCAGCTCTCACTCGAATCGAAAGGTCCGAAGAGGTCCAAGCGTATTCCGAAACCTCGGCCCCTTGGCAGGCTGGGGAGGGGGGTAAGAAGTTTCAACAGCTCATTGGAAAACTTTGCAGTACAAAGAACAATGGAAGGTGTTGGTGCTGAAGTCCTGCGCCCAAACACGCCGGGCAACCGCGGCCATGCTCAGATTGGCTTCTGTGTGAGTCCTGGGCTCATATTGGGCTGACGGGTTCGGGGTGCAGGAATTGGCACAGCTGCCACGCCCGCCTTCCTCCCAAACCAGTTTGAGGGCGGGCGAAAAACTTGGCAGCTCTGTTCTTGGGACGGCAATCTTCCCTTGTGTCAGACGAACGCTGTCAAGTTTTACACTAGATCCTCTGGCACACCAGCTGAATCTGAAACTCCACATTCAAGTCCGAGCCTGAGCGGCCCTTCACACTTCAAAACACATGGCGCCTGCAAAAAGAACAACAGCTGACAAAACGCTGGCCCGTGCTCGGCGCTGCTTATCGGCGTATTGGTGACGGGTGATACTGGGCCACGGCATATGCAGAAAAGTCGCTGAACTTGGGTCTTGATCACCTGCCCGGCTGCCCAACTGCACGACTTCCTGTGAGTACTTCAACCCTGAAACCCCTTCAATTTCCCAGCCTGGCGCCTTGGTTAGGGTCAGATATAAAAAAATGGAAGCGAGAATAACGCCACCTCGAGGTACCCCTTCCCGACAGCCTTTCGACGCACATGATTTGATACATCCAAGTGCCTGCCTGCACTACGAGTAAGTTATCAGCCACATAAGAATGTGCATAAAATCATGTAAACTTGTAAACTATGCTTCGTTGGGGCACGAACTTGAATCCGAAGGCCAAACAGGAACCACAATGCATTTCGAACAAAACCTGCCTCGGCAGGATTGAAGACGGCAATGGCAAGCGCGCCTGCCGTGCCACCAGCCGCCAAGCGCTGGATGAAGTTGGGCCCTCAACAGGGCTGTGTAAGTTCCAGCACTCGCCCGATTTCGCGCTACTTGCGCTTCGCCGGTTTGCGGTGTCAGTGCTTTCTACACAGGCTCCAATGTGAACATGGCCGCCTGTTTTTTGGAGTGCTGCGGCCTTGCCAAGCAAAAGGAAAGCCCCAAAACCTTCAACCCAAGTCCGCAACTCAGCCCTCAGCCTCAAGCCCTTCACAAACCTTCAACCTGAACCCCAGCGACGAGCACGCCAGTCAGCCGAGTCTAACCATGAGATCTACAAGACTGCCGCACAGGAAGTGCTTTAAACGAGGAGAGCGAGAAAGTATATCCTGAGAACGGCAGTAAAAATCCTCACAGGTTTCCCCCCATAGGAGGTGAAAGCAAAGTGCCTGCAAAGAGAGAACGTGGGGAGGCCCAAAGTATGCTCAAAGATGATGATATCGCCTTGTGCACCTTCGCCACGCAGCGTGCGCACGTAGAACTCCCGAATCGGCTCGTAGATCACCAGCGACCTCGGCTCTCAGAAGAGGACCCCCCACCAGAACCAAGATGCCAGGTATGGTCCCCAGCACATCAGCCACGCTGCTAGAACAGTGCTGTATTGTCGGACATCGGATGGCAAACCAGCCATAGCTGGCTGTGCTCTTTCCACTGGACCCTCATAGCTACATCGTTGGTACTTACGGCACTTGTGCTGTGGCATTGGCACGTGGGAAGAACCAGAATGTGCCGCAGTGCCGTCTGAGTGACAGAGACGTGTAGGAGATCTGCCGCAGAAGTGCCGGAGCAAGCCCTTTCCAGAGTGCGGCTGGGCCCTCTTGCCTCGAGAAGCCATGGCATGCCAGTGGCAGAGAATTTCTGCGGGACATGGGAACTCGGTGCGAGGACGTGCGAGGCAGAAAGCCTGGACGCGCAAACTCCCAAACCTCCCAAATCTTTGGGCGAAGGATCAACGGAGCCTGGATGTCTGGAGTATGCAGTCCAGAAAGCCCCCATACTTGCCGGACTGCTGCACCTGCTGCATGTAGCAATGTGAGCTGCACATAACTGCATGTAAGGAACCAGCACAAGCCCAACATCTACCCAATCGTAGCACTCCGTCTGTTCAGAACTGGGGAAAGGCTTGCCACGAAACAAACAGACTTCACATTGACACCGCGACATGCGCCCCACGACATAGGCACCACATTCTGCCTGAAGCCGAACTTTGACGACGTCTGTCGGGAGGGTGACCTTTCAGAGCAGCCACAGTCCAGGAGAAACAACTTGTGTTGGGGACTAAGTGACTCGAGGCTCTCCTAAGTGGCAAAAAGCCCTGTGAAATGCCGGCGGACTGGTTTGGGATGGCGGTCATGTGCCCAAAAAAAGCACCGCTTAAACCCATTCGGCATTGCTTCGGTGTGCTACACCCCGACTTCTTCTCCGAACTGAACCCCCGAAAGACTCAAACAACCGAGTCCCAAATTCAATAGCCTCTTAATGTCGCTGGGGGCACCGTTTCTGCAATTGCAGCGCCCGAAGCGGAAGCCACGAATCGCGCAAGGGCATCACTCATGCTGTTGACTGTTGCAGCTTGCTGACATTCTTGACTTCAAACGTTGTGTATGACCTGGCTTGCTCGCTACGGCTAAAGCGATCGGACTCCAACTCGACTCCAATTCAACAAGCCTTTTTGGGGCTCAAGAGCCCAAAGACTCTTAAGCAAGCTTTTAAGCATGCGTTTGAGCATGCAATTGTTCACTCGCGCAGGTCGTTACAACACGACGTGCAGCAGCGTAGCAGTGATCTCTTGTACTTCTGATTCTCTGCTAAAATAGATCACGGATATTCTTCACCCTCTTGGAGGATACGCGAGGTGGCTTCTAAGTGCTGGTGTAATTTTGCTGTGCTTCAGAATGCGAAGCCTGAAAGCGACCGGGACTGCGCCTTGGCCACAGATGGCTACGGCCCCCCGACCCTTCATGTTGCCTCTCAACTGCATCTTTTGTGTAGACCCCCTCTGTCATTATACAAGCCGAGTACATTCAACTATTCTGTGCCCGATTGTGCCACTTTCTCCTAACCCTGTGCAACGCAATGTGCATCGTGTCGTCGTGGCTCCAGAGGGTCATTTCTTTCATGAGAAGCACCCTCCATCTGGCAGCAAACTGACTTCAAGCCGAGATCGCTGAGGCACGTCTCACACAAGTCTGCTGGTTTGCAGTCTTTGGCCACCCCGCAGACGTGAGAAGCTTGCTTCCAAAAGCTGCCAGACGGTGCGCCGCGCCCTGAAGAGCTGCCGCTCGGACAGGATCTCGCAGCAACTCGGTCTTCTCAGCCCACGGAAATGTCGTAGCAGGTAAACAGGTTCCTGGGTCGCCGAGCTGAAGAATGGAACAAGGGCGCCCCCATTCCCCCCCCCGCTTTCTTGTGTTGCAGAGTCTTGCAGGGCATTCCCAAGGCTCCGGCCCGGCCAAGGCCTCTGCTCTCACGGAAAAACAGGGAGGCAAAAGGGCAAAAGGTCAAAAAAATGGCAAAGCGTGCTCTCGCATGTAAAACCCGTTCCTTCAACTCCAAGATACTCCAAGCATCCAACCCCCCCCCCCCGTTTCGCTGCCTCCATCACGGAGACGCCCAGACCCACTCCAGCCAGGTTCACCGCCTGCCAACTTTCATATGGCGTCTGAGTGAAGTGCCCAAGCTTAAGAGTGCCGTCTCCAACGCACCTTCACCACGAACCTCTCTTCCAGTGCGGACAGCACGGCCTGTGGAAGAGCACACCGAGGGGATCTCTGGGATATAAGTGACACAAGTAAGGGTGAGAGTGATGCTTTCCAAGGCTTGCGGCATTATCTGCGCAGAAAAACTTGTCTTTCCTCTTACCACACTGGAGACGAGTTGAGAAATCCTTCCAGGCAGCCCCGAAGTTCCTTCGTGCGAACCCTCTCTTGTGCAAAGCTGTGGCCATTGTGGCCATTGTGTGGCCTCTGTGGCCCTTTAGGAGCTTCCGAAGCCACGGGAAGGCCTCCACCCCTTCCTCGCCAATTTCCGTCGTGTTGCACAGCAAGATCCTTGGGCAAAGGGGCCACCCCGGAATTTGATTCCCGCAAGGAGAAATTGAGGCAGCATCAGACAGCAAAACAGAGCCATGGCTCTTGGAGCTGTCCATAGGAAGTCCTTGTGCTAGGGCCTGCCATCTGCATGTTCGCTTGGGCTTTGGGGTGCCGAATGCCACCTGTGCCCCAAAGTGCAGAAACGAGAAGCCTGCACTGCCCACTCGCTCCCGAACTGCAGGAACTGCAGGCCTATCTGTTGAAGTCCCCAACAAAACTGAACGGCCTTCTCACGGACATGCCAGAGAGGGTCCATCGCCCGCGCGATGGCCTGCATAACTTTGTCATCTGCTTGTGCTTTCTCAGATCATGCTCATCTAATGCACAAGTCTTCTAGGTACTGGTAAGAGCAGAATGCCTGCGGAATGGGCCCCCGAAGGCTCCAAGGCCTCAGCACGCTCCTCCCCAATCTCATCGTGGAAGAAGAAGACGCGGCGAAGCGCGCTGTTAAACTCCAAAGCTTCCACCAACTCCTCCACTCTTGATCGGTCTTGTGATATCACCGCAACCACGATAAGGAAGAGCAGTTGTTTGCATGTCGTGCAGCTGGAAAGGCTTTGTTCGCAGTCTCAACGGCTTTGGAACTTGTCTCAGCGTTATCTTTCTACATCGTTCTCAGCGAGCACTGACGACAGCAGATCTGCACCAGTTGTGCGCCAGTTGTGCGCAACAGTAGGGTTGGAGGCCTTGCGATTGCACTGCAGAGCATACACAAAGCCTCCCGTATTAGGATGTGCATCTGTACGACCCACGGGGCTGAGGACTCGAACGAAGGTCGAAGGCAACAGCAGCTATTTAGGGTCTGCATTTTTACGTTCCCTGGCGGTAAGCATTGGTCTCAAGACGGAATGACATGCCAGTTGGACAACATGCACTTTGTCAAGCGGGAAGATGACCGGCACGCCAAATCACGCCAACATGTTCTTGTAAGGAGATGGCTGTGTAAGCAGATATTAGGCTCAAAAATACCGACTGTGTATGTCACACAAACCATATGCGCTGCACTAGCACCTTCTGTCGCTACCCCTAAGATGAAACAAGGCAAGGCCAAGAAGCAAAAAATGTATCACGTCAGCCAGCAGACTCAGTAGACCCACGTCCGTGAAACTTCTGAGGCAAAGCAGTCCGGGCATACATGGGCATAGCGTACAAAAAGAACTTGCGCAGTAGGCGCAGAGTAGCGCCTCCCTACAACACCATGCAGAATTTCGATCATTTTCGCGTGAGGCGAAAACCGCATCCAAACCCGCGTACTGTAACCCACCTCACACGCCCCAAAACAGCGGGACTCATGGAGGCCCCAGCTCCGACCTCGTTTCTTCGGAGACCCCAACCGTTTTTCTTGGGGAAAATCACAGGTTCGCTGCGCATTCCACGTGAGCATGCCATGAAGCTGCAAGCCTGGGCACTTTCATCGTCCAGTCCGTCCGCTTGGACTGTGTTCAGTGTCACAGCCTGGCTCGAACGATATCTGTTTAGGAATTCGTGCCGGACATGTATCGGCGAGCAGTTGGGCGTTCAATGAACTGCACGAAGATGAAAAGTACCCATGTTGTCTTCTTGGTCGCTGCACAGAACTTGTCAGGTAAAGAAAGAAGAGCACCCGCCATACACTGCATGAACCTGACCCGAAATCCAACAGAGTTTGCCCCTAGCAACTCAGGGGCGCCTGCACAGGCGTGGATTCGTCCAAGAGGGTGGCAACGAGCTGCCGCGAGCGAGCTGTGGCTCTCAAGTCAAGTCAGGCGGTCGGGGGGGGGGGGGCTACTGAAGGACACACCTATGTCGCACCAGCGGAAGAATCTCACATGAAGCCCCCGACCTTTGCGCACTCCGCATCCACTTCCGTGGCCTTGCGGCTGAAGGGGACAGCATGGAAAGACATCTGGGACAGCTACGGATGCATATGGAATGTGGAATGGATGCTGCAACGATAGCCTCCACAAGGACCTGCCGCACCGCCGCACAACTTCGCATTGCCTCCACAATGGCCTGGCAAGGAACCCTCATGTGAGACTGTCATGGGAAACCCGAACAGAGCTAGAACAGCGTCATCAGAATCTGTGAGCAAAGGGGGAACGGATAGTATTGTAGCTCCGGCAAGACTTGCGGCAGGCAACGTGTCAAGTGCAGAGTCTGTAGATTGAAGGGAGGGCGTTTTTTTCAGGGGTAGAAGTCAACCCCCAAGCTGCAACGTCCAAGATGCTCCGATGCCAAGAAGTTCAGACGTGAAGGGCCTCGATGCCCGACTCTTCGAGGCCGTCGCACTGCACTTCCACCCTGCGAGAGAGAGCGAGACAGAGCAAAAACACAAGGCGCGCTCCAAGCATAGGGCTGAAGCCCAGGCTAAGCGGCGAGATGCTCTGAGAGAGGCAAATTCAGCGACACCAAAGGCGGGGACTCAACAGCGGGGACTCACATGGAGTGCCTGGTCCGGGAGGTCAGGAATTCGCAGGCAGCGCAGAGCTCACGAAGGCGGGCGTCGTCGACATCCTCGTCAGCTGGCTTGCAGGTCACTTCCAATCATGTCTCCGACCGCCTCGTTAGATCTGATTTCTAGAGTTTGACTCAGAGACTCAGGTGCTGGCCTGGATCTCCTCAAGCTCCGGGAAGACGTCGTTAAAGACTTCGCAGTGCGGCACCACCAGGCGAAAGAGCGCCAAATCATTCGCGAAGTCCGCCTGTCTCAGGAAGACGCCGGGCACAATCAGTCGTCGCGCGGCTCACGTGCAAGAAGGACAGAGACGTCACACAGATTGCTACCGGCATGAGCTGATGAGCTGCTCTCACACGCGATCCCCCCCCAGAAAATCCATGCCCAGGGACATCATCTCGGATCTGCTTTTCAACAAGCTCGTTGTGGTCCTCGTGTCAGAAACGCAGAGGAAGCAGAACAGAAGCACAAGCGCGATCTGCGTCCATTTGGGCCCATTGAATCTCTCCACTGAGTCCAAGTTGAGTCCTCTAGGGCAGAACTGAGGCTCTCCCCTGTCCATGGGGCCACGAGGCGCTGGAGGGTGCCTGAGAGCTGCAAGCTGCAAGCTTGCAAGTAAGCTCCCAAAACTCTCTCTTGTTTTTTTTTCTTTCTTTCGGAGGGCGTGGAGGCCGGAGCCCCCGGGCGTCTCTCTCTCTCTCTCTCTCTCTCTCTCTCTCTCTGTTTTGAATGCGAACGCTTGGAGCGAGAAGCCTGTTTGCGTGACACATGTAGCACCGGTGCTCCCATTGTAAGTGCAGCTTCGGCACCGTAAGACAGATGCGCCACGGTGAGCAGAAAGACCTTGGCAGGCTGAGGTCTAGAGGGCCCCGGCACTTCCGGTGTCCTGTTTCTGGTGCCGTCCAGGGTTGTGGACACATGTGGGGAACTCCTGCGCCCTTTAGCACCTGAATTCTTCTCTAGGGGGGCACTCTGTTGCTGGTGTCATGTCCAGGAGCCGGGATCGCCAGGTTCAGCAGACCCACGAAGACGCTACCACCAATCACTTTAAGGTAGCAGATGGCGAAGATGGCCTCACAGAGTGGCAGCAGCCTGCCTTTTCGCTTTAAACTTCGATACCTGATGCCTTCAAAATCTTTCAAGCATTCAACACTCAAGCCCTCCAACCTGCGGCACGTTCTCCAACAGCATCAGTTTGCGCTTCGTTGGTGTGACTTGCCTGGCACATTGGCTCCAGACGTACATGTGCCTCTACCTTTCGAGTCAAAAACTTCCCAATGGACCAAACCGACCCTGCTGTGCATCCTTTGCATCCATCGCACCTATTGTGTCATCACGTTTGATCCTAGCAAGCTTTCTCCCAATTCGTCCCCAGCTGCTTGTAAAGCACTGGTAAGATCTTGTTGCACATCTGGCGGACGAACGGCTGCTTCTTTGTGCTGACGTCCTTCGAAGGATCATTCACACCAACCAACTGACAGAGTCGCGTGGAAAAGCCCACATGCTGGCAAGCATCAGCTTCTACCGAAATTCGCCTAGAGCCTGGGAGCTGACTGTTCCAAAAAACGCTCTGAAACTCCATATCGGTCCTCCGGAGTGAAGTCCTCTGTGGATGCAACCAGGACAGAGAGGTGGCTCCTGGGCTTGTGAGGCTTACAGGCTGCAGGCAACTCAGCTACAAGTAGTTTGTATCATTGAACTAAGCATATCATGTGCCCGGCCGTCCAACATCCTAATCTGACAGCAAGAGGCCCACAGAGCTGCGCGAGACACTTGTCATCGCAGAAGCTGCAGTAGGTATGTAGAGCTGCAAGATGAACCTGTGGGGCTCTGCCGCTTTGTAGTGAAGAGGTTGCAAGAAGCTGCTCGGTCATTCTGCACAGGCATTCTGATCATTCTGCACCACCCCGCCAGGCTCAGAACACAGATGATCCGCACGAAAACGACCCCGCTCTGCCAGCACAACGCAGCCAGAATGACGTCCTGGCGACAAGAAGTGATCAAAAGTCAAGGGCAGTGCGAGGGCAGCCGATGGCAGCCGGCATTTTGAACTAGTCGAAACTCCTTGAGCGTGTCGTAGGCATCGGATAGGATGGGGCACATTCCGCTGATAGACGCGCTGAAGAATGTTTTCAAACCATACCTGGCAAAACCCGGGTACACTCCCCAATCCCCAGCATTATTTCTACATTCACCTACGAAAAAGGTCGGGGCAACGGGGGGAACGAAGCGGTGCCAGCAACGCACATTTGGCATGCTGAACATGTTCCGGTGTGGACGTTCTGACTGCGTGCTGTGCTCAGTCCACCAACGGTTTTACCAACATGGGTACGGCTGAGCATTCCTGAGCATGCCTGAGCCCGCAGAAGATCCCTCAAAAAATAGAGAAAAACAAAAGGCTCTGGCCTTCGCCCTCTTGGCAAGATACATGCAGCGATGAAGGCCTGCAGTATCCTGAGTTTGAGGCGATTGCAGATCTTGGCACTGTGCTGCGATGCCTTCGTGCAAGGAAACCTCGACCCTTCCGGAACAAGATGCAAAAAAACAACATGCAAAATCAAAACAAGCAGCTGCCAGGCACCGGCTATGCTGAACAGTATCAGGTACACTTCCCAATTGAGGCCTGTCTTATGACTGAGCCTTCCCGTAGCCATGCTTGTAAAGGCCGCCGTAATGCATGTGGCGTACGTGAAGGTGAAGACCAGTGCAAAAAGCACGCGCTTACACCTCTTGAAGAACTTGATGAGAAAATTGCTGTATATAAGTGTTTTTCAGGAATGAAGACACGCACTTACTTTCAACATACACTAAACATACCCAACAATTCAACGAAACTCGCATACTTGATGATCCTGCCTGCGACTCAAACCAGCCTTGGCCGGAGGAAGCTCGGGAGTATCGTCGTGGTCCGCAGCCACAGTCATGAGGATGCGCTGTGGCTCATCAACGCCACGATTTTTGCACTTGGTGCCCAGCCAGAGCAGGAAAGTCCCCAACATGAGCACAGAAATATATACCAGCGCCAACGCAGAGATGTAGAAGTGCGTGCGGCCAGATGCCAGAGCTGCTGGCATGTCGCGTATCTCTTGGACACTAGGCAGAAACTTTGGTGGTGCCGTCACGAACACCGTCGGAGGCAGCGCATGAGAGACAGCCTCCGCATCCCCGACCACATCAGGCAACTCCACAGCTGCCTCTGTGCTCACAAGGACCACGGCAGCAGGGAGAACTCTCTTCAAGAGTGCCATGGTTCTCTTTGGTTGAATCTCAGAAGTCTGCACTGCTTGGAGAAACTGTCAAAGCTGCACGGTAAGGTTTGGGCAGTGCAAGAATCTATTCTGATGATGGTTCTGGTAGAAACTGCAGGCAATGCAACATTTTGTAAAGATGCTTGCCGAAACGAAGCTGACCAGGGCAACAACTACCTTTTCAAGTTGCTGCCTCACGGCTTGGGCCCGAGCAAAGCAAACCAAGAACGCATCGCAACCGCCTCTTGCCCTGCTGGAGGACAAGACCACTGGGGAAAATGTCGGCGGCGAAACTTCTGAGAGCAGCACCCGTCGAAGGCTTAAATATCTGACCGACCCCCCCCCCCCCCCCCCGAAAAAGCCGCAACAACCCTCAAAATCTTTTTTTTTGCTGGAATACGCGCCAACCCACAACAAAAAGGTCCGTGCCTGGGACCCTGCCTCTGGTCCCACACCCGGCCCTAGCGCCCACACAAAAAAGACCAAGCCGACGAGGCTTGCCCCACGCTCCGACCCCTTCCCCCCCCCCCCCCCCCCCCCCCCCCCCCCCCCCCCCCCACACGTCCCCCCCCGCCCTCCCGTACCCCCAGAAAAAGCCGCGAAAACCCTCAAAATCTTGTTTCTGCTTGGCTCCACAACCCGGCGCGAGCTATTTTGGTCCGAGCTTTTAGGGGACGGGTCACGACGTTTTTGGGCATCAGCACTCCGGGCGCGGACCTGCGCGGACCCCGGGTTTATTTCTTTTGGCAATCAAAGACACAAGCGCGGACCATGGAAAACATCGAGAAAGCGTGCGCGGATTGGTTTCCGGGCATTTGGGAATCACAACGGTATACAAAGAAACAAAAACCGTCATGCCTCGGAGCCTCGCGTGGCAAACTTCTCTTGGCAAGTTGGTCATTGTATGGGGTAGAGGGGGGAGCTCTGGCGCACGGCGCAGATGGGGCGCTAGTTGCTTACGACGACGCCCAAAAAGCTGTGCTGGTAACGTAATCGTGGCTATGTAAGGGTTGTGAATATGCCCCTGCGACCAGTAAAGCACGTTCCCTATAACAGGCGGTTAAGTACAATGAGATGTGTACCCCTGTGATGTATAATCGTGGCTCCATAAGGGTTGTGAATATCCCCCTCCGACCGCCCTGAAAACGCGTTTTAACATGGCGCGAGCTATCCAGGATGGGCCATTATACCCTATAACCCTATAATCCCTGAAACGGCCCTTTAGAGGGTTCATTATGGGGACTTTAAGGCCTAATAGCCCATCCTGCATTTGGTCATCAGGGCGCAAATAGGGTGCTAGTTGCTTACGATGTCACCCTACGAGCACGAGAAAGGGAGGGGACATGCGACAAACTTCTAGGGCCCTCACCAAACCCTACGAGCACCAAGGGAGGGGACATACGACAAACCTCTAAGGGATATGTTTTTTTTCTACAGTGTTCTGAAAGTGCTACTCCCCAAAACTTGGGTACTATTTGAGTACGCTCCCCAAAAAGCAGGATGCCAGTTGAAAACGCTCGGGGGCCTTTCTGTCGCTGCGGGCGAACAAGTCCGGGCCTTTCTGTCGCTGCTTGGGCCCATCAAACCTTAGAACATCTTAGAACCTTTTCGCAGAGCAAATAGAGCTGTTCTGCGCCCAAAAACCTGTGCTGGTAACGTAATCGTGGCCCTATGAACCGTACAGGAGCTGATTTTTTTGACACGGTCTCTTCGCACAGAAAGAGGGTGGTCTGACCATCAGCTCTTTAGGGGCTCTTCAACCTCTAAGGGATATGTTTCTACTTCTACAGTGTTCTAAAAGTGCGGTCCCCAAAACTTGGGTGCTTTGAGCACGCTCGGTCCCACAAAGTCCCACTAGTTAGGGGTTCTGACCATGAGCTCTTGAAAAAGACTCTGACCAAATAGCTCGCACCAAAAAGCTCTTGAAAAAGACTCTGACCAAATAGCTCGCACCAAAAACCACCCTCTTTTAGCCAATTTTAGCCCATTAGATCAAGGGCCCCGAAAAAAGTGGGAGAAAGGTCCTTCGTGAGACTACAAGCGTTCCAGGAGCTGATAGTTTTGACACGGGTCTTCTCGCACAAAAAGAGGGTGGTTTGACCATGAGCTCTTTAGGGGCTCTTTGGCCATGAGTTCCAGTTCTTTCTTTCTGTCTTACACATCTAAGGTTGAAGGTTTGAATCTGGGTTTCAAGTCTTTACGACGTTTTTGACACGAAGAAACTCGCGCCAAATCGGGGTGTCAAGTTTTATTCGACATTTTTGGCACGGTCTTTTCGCACAAAAACAAGGTGGTCTGACCATGAGCTCTTTGGGTGCTCTTCAAACAACCTTTCTTTCATATGGAAGGAGAACTTGAAAATAAGCATCTTGCCTGAAGCTGACCGCTTCGGTAGTGCTGACTGAAGAGTGAAACCAGGCTGCGAGGTGGAGGCACAGGAAGCCCACACACACCAACGATACCCAATCAAACGCACAACACCATCCATACCATCGACCCATCTTTAACGAACACTCCACAACGCCACAGCAGCGGGAGCCACCCCAAATTCAGCAGTACGTCTTCTGGTGCTCCAGCCGGCCTATCAGGCAGTCAGCGCGACCCGGGAAAAGTCACAGCTTTGGGACATGACACAGAAAGAGCATCGGTGCGTTTATGTCACGATCACTGTCAGGTCTTCGAGCCGAGGGATACCACATCCCCAGACAACTTTCCAAAGGGAGACCGGGGGCCTACAAGCGCGTCGGGATCCCAACAATCGAGTGCTGGCATTGACTGTCTTTTAAACCACTTCCCAGAGGGTCGGGAGAGTCGGGGAAAGATGACGTGTTGCATAAACGCATGGTGACTCTTGCATAGCACCTGGAAAAGAGTCATCCAAACAATCGTGTCCTGATTTCCTCCTTGTAAGAAAGACGGAACAGATCCTGACTGTCCTTGACAAAGAACTTTTGAAGCGTACTTTTGTACTAGTCAACTCCGGCATTAGCATCTCTCAGTTTGTCCCGATCCAGGCTTTGTTTGTCTTGTGTTCGTGCTGCTGCTCCAGTCAGCCGATCTCTTGGGCTCAGAGCCCACTTCTCTAGGGCAAGGGCTGAGATGTCAGTGCAATCATCACTGAGTTCTGTGTGCTTCAACCAGTTGCAATGGCGGTCGGTGGGAATCTTTGGAGTCAGCTACATCTGCCGATGAAGCGGTGGCAGAGACTCTTCCTCTTCTTCAGTTCCTGACTTACTCATCTTACGACATGTGGGCTTGTCATATATTTCGCTCCTTCCCTGCGAAATGCTCTTGTCTACCACATGAACAAGTTGAGACAGAAAGGGCTGCGAATTGAGCATACATGGAAGCAACGCAGGCAACTCGTTCTGAATCATGACAAGGCAGGAGGCTGTTGTACGTTGAGCAATCATGTCATGCATTGTTCTGCTGCACGGGCCCGCTGCTAAGGCTGATAGAAACGAAAGGCCAGCTACACTAGCTCTCGTGACCTCAACAGTTGCGCCTCATGGCGATCGTGGAGTGAACCGCCCCCGACGGGAGGGCGACGAGGCAGCCTCGGACTGCTATCACCTGTTCCTGGGGTCTACGTACAAATTGGCAGGTGTGATGATGAGAACGTGTATGTTTCCACGAAGCTGCTTGTCTGTGGATCTTTTGTTTGGCTTCTGAAGATCACTGGCCTCTGAAGGAGATGTCGGCGCATTCTGAAGGTGTTCGGGCAATTGACCTCAGAATCCGATTCTCGAGCCCTGAAGCTGTCACGCATGGTTGTGCATTAGCGAAAACACTAGCTAGATAACCAAGATTCCAACCACCTGGCAGTTGCGCTTGCTGCATGTGGGATCTAAACAATCGTTTTGCATCCGAGCACCTGACCCTCGTTGTTCTTCTCCTGCGGGCACTTGTCTCAGGTAATAGGCATCTGCAAAAGAAGCTGCAAGGGCCCGCCCTAATTGAAGTCCCACAAGGTCCTGCCGGCATCTTTCAGTGAGCAGGAATTTGTACACTTCTTGCTGGCCGCCCCCCATTGCTGCATGGTGTAGTGGCGTGTTACCTTGCAGGGAAAGCATCCCACAAGTTTGGTGTGTCGTTGCAGTTTCTGCCTTAGCGGCCAAGTCATGCAGTGCTCAACTGCATTGCTACCTGTCAATGCTCAAGAAACACCATGTCATCCCAATCTCAGTGATGAAAAAGTAGTACTGTGGGATCTTGTCTGTCGAAGCCGCTGATTGCTCCGAAACTTGTGCGTGCAGCTGTCAAAGCATGATCTGCCCCTCTAGGCACAGCTGCTCAAGCATGGCTTCCACAACCAGGGTCCCATGCCTTGTCTGTCAGCCACACCCTGCAAAGCACTGAAATACAAACACTTTCATAATCTTGTATCTTTTTGTATATCCCACGAAGTCAATCTGTAGTTAAGTTCGCATCTGGCAGGCGAGTTGATGATGAAACGGTCTCCTGTGCAAGCATAACACTCGACCATATGGAACATGGCTCAGGAAGGCCCGCTGCAAATGCTAATGATCGAGCCCACAGAAACGCAATGCAGTGGGCGCCATGCGAACACTTTCCGATATTCCTGATTCTTCACGAAAACCTTACATGCCCGGTGCGTCTGCCCTCTTTTGCTTGCATTTAAGCACCGCCCTTTATCATCAGTACTGGTATGATTTGGTATGATGAATGCCATGCCTTGTCACTTCCGTACTTCACCAGGAGCTTGACCACATCCAGGTGATTAGCGTGCGCTGCCAGATGAAGTGGAGTCCGGCCTCAGTTTGCACGTGTCTTTGTGTTGTTTTTAAGCAAAAACACTTGAGAAAGTTCATCACCAGGTATCCAGATTATAACACCAAATTGCATATGAATCTTCATCGCTCTGAATAGGCGACTCTGAAACAACAATCCCCTAAATGGTTGGCGGGGCGTCCTTGTATATACTCACGAGGTCATTGAAACTCAGGACGGGACCGGTGACTGGGGTTTACGGTTTGTCTCTCAATGAAGATCACATTCCGACCCCTTGGAGCACTGGCTTGGAACTCTTCTCCCATTCTGACGGAAGTTTGCCTTGGTGCAGATTGGGCTTCTGGTTTCTCGTCATAGGAGCACTTGAAAGACCCGAATAGCCCATGACAGGCGCGACATAGCGAGGAGAGCACTGTACAAGATTCTGAATGGAGTTTCGCAGGCACTTGACGCGTCGTGCGCTGGTCAATATCACAAGATGGCTACGTAATAACACCCTTGTGCCACGTACATGTGCAGTTTAAGGGCGCTTGATGTATGCACAAGCTACATCTCCGTCTCGTGCTGAAAGAGAGCATGAAACCACTTGTGCGCCGCCGGTTCCTTTTTGGGGCTTAGGGTCTCTCATTTGTTGTATCGGGCCTGCCACACCTGCATCTCCTTCTAGGGTTTGGGGGGTTTAAGGTATCTTGTTTTTTGGATTTAGGGTATAGCACACCACATCACCACATCACCACATCACGAGCCCACCACGTTACGACAAAAAACCATGTGCACGTTTGAGAAATATGAAAAAATCACATGCACTTACGAGGTCCCCCCGGTTGCACAAGCCGAACCCGAGGCAACTAGAGGCTCACACATCTCAGATTGCCATGCACATAAGGGATTGCAGTCCGCCGATGTGGCCTAGATTAAACACGTCAAAACTCCATCGGAGTATTCGACAATACTGAAGGGGCCACAGCGCTCCCGACAGAATTTACACCTAGATAAGCGACAGTAGTTGAAGCACGTCCAACTGCTGAGGTACAACTACCTACACCATCTTTTCTCCGCAACCCAAACACAATACATACTGACATACTGTTGCTCGTGACAAAGGCCCGCGCCTTTCCTGTCAGCGGCTTCCTGCAAGAGCATGCATACGCCAAGTGAACAAAGGACAGAAACAACAGCTGAGAGCAAAGAAACAACAGATGAGATACTCAGGCACACGTGGGATTGATTATGATCCGCTACAGCTATCCGAAGTAAAGGGTCTGCTTGGTAGTGCAACTTGTAGCGTCTTTCAAAAAAACAGTGCTTGTATTCGGGGCATAGCTCTGCCCTTCTGGACTGGTGTTGCAAAAATCTCAACCCACCGCGCGCCCTGCCTTGTCGCATTTGTTCTCCAGCAAGTGTTTGACTATGTCCTTGTGGACTGGAAGTCTAGACTCGCAGCAGGGGCAACTTTGGAATTTGGTGCAGCGTTTGGACCGTCGAGGCTGCCCAATGGAGTGGTGTTTTGCCTCGGCTGTTCTGAGCCCTGCCAATCCCCCCCCGAATGGGATCAAGCATTGAACCCAGTCGAATCGTTGCCAGCGCCTGATGAACAACCAGCACCAACCACACAATCCTAAACCCGAAACCCTAAGACCGCACTTTTCCTGTGAGCGCCAATCGAGAATTTCAAGTAAGACTCGGCTCATACATCGAGGCTATGACACCCTTCCCAGAGCGAGGCCCGTGCCATCCCTGCATCTGGCCTCCTGCAGGTGCGAGAATTGATGTCTGCTTCAAGTCAGTTCAGGATCTCACAAAAGCTATTGACAAAAGCTATTGAAACGCTGGTCCTTTCAAACCCAACTGGATGCACTTGCCTTGTTGCTGTTCTCGTTCAGCAGGAGTTTCACCACCGCTAGGCAGCCATTTGCTACTGCCACATGAAGAGGAGTTCTACCTTGGTCGGCACGTAACGTAACCTGTCCCCGAACCAACACCTCTGGCTGCACGTTCCCCAGTCTGTTGCCAATTCCCGGTTGAGCAAAGCCCCACGCCCCGCGTGTCGGTTGCTTCCTGCAGCAGCGAGACAAACAGGAAAGAACGCACGCCCTCCAACACTGCCAAGTGTGCCCCTCAGACCAACCTGCCTGTATGCACCGGGAACCAAGGAGGCGTATAACCACATCATGGTGGCCCTTGATAGCTGCCAAATGAAGTGGTGTTCTACCTTAGCCAATCATCTAACTCCTGAACTCCCGTGAGACAGCTCCACACTCTGGCGCATCTCAACCCAGACCCATGCCGCCATCGTCTGTCACATCCTGCAGCCACTTAAATTCAAGGGCCGGAGCGCTCGCAGCACACTGGACGACGTTTCGGCTTATCATGTTGATTTGGGGTCGGTGCCACAGCCTGCTTGCACCCACTTTCGAGCAGACACGTCAGCACGTCGATGTTGCCCCGCAGTGCTGCCAAATGAAGCGGACCTGAGTCAACAACTTTTCCGCGCCTCAGCCACGGACTTTGTAGGACTTATCTTCTGAATCCTTACCATGTCTTCAGGGAGCCCAACTGCTGCAAAGCAAAGCTTGTTCCTGAATCTCCAAGGCCCGTGCGATGGCCTCTGCGATCCCTAGCCTCCTCATCAAATGAAAACAGTGCTCGTGAACAAAAGCCAAGAAAACTGACGGCCGGATGTGAGCAGGACTCCGTGTCTTCAAGTCTTCAAAAACTTAAACCTTCACGCGCACGCACACGCACACGCACACGCACACCCACACCCACACCCACACCCACACCCACACCCACACACACACACACACACACACACACACACACACACACACACACCCACACACACACACACACAGAGACGCCAACACACACCACCCCACACAGCCCCACACACGCCCACACACACACCACATACACACAACACACACACACACACACACACAGACAGACACACACACAACAGACACAACCATACAGAGACAAACACACACACACCACACACACAGACACACACACACCCACACAGACACATACACAGACACACACACACACACACCACCCACACACACACACCCACACACACACACACACACACACACACACCACCACACCTACCTATGCACGCGCACGCCCACTCACACCCACAGCCCCCGCACACACTCACACCACACGCACACACCCACACGCCACAACTCAACCCACAAACGCGCACAAACTCACAAAACGCTCACAAACGCTCACAAAACAAACCCACAACGCGCACAAACGCTCACAAACGCCACAAACGCACGCACACGCACACACTCACCAATCACTCACACACACGCACCGCACTCACTCACTCCCTCGCACCCGCACCCACCCGCACCCGCACACTCACACCTCACCCCGCACAACCACCCGCACACCACCCTCGTCACTTCACCCGCGCACCACCCGTCCCGCACCCACACCCGTCACCCACCTACCCGCACCCGCGCACCCTCACCCTCACACTTCACTCCCCGCACTAACACCCGCTCACGAACCCTCTCGCATCCCCGCACGCACGTCGCACATCGCGCCTCGCTATTCCTCGCGCTCTCGCTCTATCACCCACCCGCACCCACACCCGCACGCACCCTCCGCACCCGCAATCACCCTCACCACCCTCCTCACTCTCCGCATCACTCAAAAACCTCACTCAACCACCCCCACAACTCACCACGCACCGCGCCCACCATCCCTCACGCACGCACGCACACCGCACTCACCCTCACTCACACCGCACTCACCCCCACTTCACCCTCACGCCACCTCACGCACTCCCGCACAATCACCACAAACACGCACACACCCACCAACCACACTCACCCACCCACAAACACACCACACCACACACACACACACACACACACACACACACACACACAACACAACACACACACACACACACACACACACACACACACACACACACACACACACACACACACACCACACACACACACACCACACCACACACACACACACACACACACCACCCCCACACCCCCCCCACCCCACCCACCCACCCACCCACCCCCCACCACCACTCACGCATGCACACCCACGCACCCACGCACGCACTCACGCACTCACTCACTCACTCACACCACCCACTCACCCACTCATGCACCCACCACTCTCACCACCCACTCCTCACTCACCCACTCACCAACTGCACGCCACCACGCACCCTCACCACCACGCACCCACTCACACTCCCACCACTCACTCACCCTTCACCCCCACGCGCTCACCCATCCCCCCTCGCGCACGCCACACCCAACCGCTGCAACGCACACCCACGCACTCACGCACACCACCCCCCACCCACCCCCACCCCCACCCCCACCCCCACCCCCACACCCACACCCACAACCACACCCACACCCAGACCCACACCCACACCCACACCAACACAAACACACACACACACAATATCAATCTGGACACGTCCATCCTACATGCTTGCCTTGTTGCAGTCGTTGCTCACCAGGGTCTGGACTATGTCCTGGTCAGCCCCCATAGCCGCAAGATGAAGCGGAGTTCGACCTGAGTCCCAGACTTGCACGTGGAAAGTCTTCATGATTTCAGACTGCTCGGAATCCAAATTACACATTTTTGTGCTTGGTGAGAGTCGCAGCTAAATGCATATGAGTACTACAGTATGCATTGTATTGCACGAACTGCCTGCCGTGCGATGCCTTCTTGCGGAAAACCCTCTATTTTACCCATACATGGACCCATTTCTTCACAGCTCCATGTGAGGCCGCCACAATTCAAATCCTTGGCGTCCTGCCCATGCTGTTGGTGCTGCTCTTGTGTTGTGAAAACACGCTTTCCCTCAGCACCTGTTTTGGAGCTTTGCGCTAGCTGCTAGAGAGGAAACACTTTGCTTTGCGACCTGAGTACTTAAGGAATTTATGTTTGTTGGTTTGGGCCTCAATTGCTTTTGCAGCGGAGCTGAAAGCTCCCGAGGCCCAGAGAGTTTACCGAGGGTGGACTCCAACTACCATAATTTGCTTGTGCAAAGTCTGCAATGACTTCAACAGCAACGCCTTATCCATTAAGCTACTGGGGTCGTCTGCAGTGAGGCTTTAGTCGCCACCCGACCACCCACATCGCCAGTCCGCCGAGAAACCTGAGAAACCAATGAAAAGTCCGGACGCGCGTATTTCTTTCTCTTGCCAACTTTGCGAGCGCGCAGATTCTGAAACTAAAACTAGGCTTCCATGGTCCTGGTATGGTAAGTGTGTTTTTGTTGGGGACTTGTTGCGTTTGCAGTCATCTGCAGTCATCTGACATAAACTACAAAGCAGACACTATTGACCCAAAAATTGCCATAAAGTTTCATGAAATTATCCGATCTCAGCATGGTCAGCATGATCACCGGAATAGCTATGATCGGATACCTGGGGTGCTGTTGACGAAGGTCATTCCCTACACAGCCTACTTACACTCTTGGGATCCCATCTTGTAAACCTCTGTTGCAAGCCCGCACCTTGCTGGAAAAGCGCAGCAGACTTTTCACTACCTCGTGAGCTGTCTGTCGCACCGCAAGATGAAGTGGCACGTAACCTCAGTGTACCAGCACCGACATCTATCTCAATCACAAGCACGCTCACAGGGTCACCATGGCATCTTGAGTGCATCTTGTAATGCAGTATAGCACCCCAGTATGACCGCTGCAATCTGGCTACAGTTCATGACACCACCCAAGTACAATACGAGGAGCATCCCCACAAAAGCAAACACACACACACACACACACACACACACACACACACACACACACACACACACACACACACACACACACAACTGCAGTCCCTGGCCGCTTCGGGACGTTTCTGTCACTGATCTCATGCTGCTGAAAGATTTGGATCTGGATGAAGGGCGAGTCGGTTACACGCGTTGGGAGCAGCGTGTTGAACACGGGAGGGGCCGAGCCAGGTGTTGGACACCTCGGGGGGGCTGAGTCCGGAACGGCGGGCTGTGCACGCACTGAGAGAGGTGTGCCGAGAACAGCCCCCATGCTCCGTAATCTTCTTTAAGCCGGCGCAAAAGTGTAGGGTTACTTGTGTTTTGGACTCTGAACCCTACTTTACAGTCCGATGCCACGTCTAAGTTTTCTTTCTGGGACTCAGACTTGGGTTTACAGTCTCCGTCTTCTAAATGATGGGCCTGCTAGGCATGTGTTCCCAACAAGCGCTGCCAACACAACTGGCCCCCCCCGACTCGGGCCGGGTCTGTTCCGGACACGCTCCCTGTCCGTTCCCAAGATTTTCGAGCCTTCCCAACACGCGCGCGCAACACACCCCAGTTGCAATCAACACGACTAACATTCATTTGGATCTTCAAAGGAGCCCAGACCCAATGCAAGTGTCCACCCTCCCAGGTTTGACAGACACGGAAGCAGTGCTTTAGCCGGTGTTCCTGCTTCCACTCGAACAGTACTGGCCCAGCACGGTGGAAACGTCTAGAGTCTAAAGTCTAGGCTAACACCGCATCACCTGAAGCATTTCTGCGCAGACATGTGACAAACCTTGTGAAAAAAGTTTCAGTGCTACGCCACAAGTCTTCTCGGCCAGCACGCTTTTCATGTCAATGCAAGGAGGCCGTATGAACATGGAAATACGGGCGGCCCCAACATGTCTCCGACCGGCTCTTTGGTGGGCACCTGTTAAGAAGCAAGTTCGGTGTTGTCTAGTCTACCAGCAGCAGGTAGGGCGAAGTGCGGCCAAAGACAACTTGCAGCTCAAACGAACTTGAACTTCGGTGCCCACCAAATAACCTTAAGCTGCAGCTGTTGCCTCCAATGCCACAGATCCGAGGCCCATGCCATAGTTGTCCACTGCCTCCACTTTGCTTTGTAGCTTGGAACTTTCACAGACAGAAAGAAGGTCCCGCCTCCTGACATCCCTCCGTCAGGAGAAGCTCTACTATATTATGACGGCCACCCCAGGCAGCCAAATGAAGCGGCGTTTGGCCTGGGCTGCGACTGTACATTCATCGGCCACTTGGCATGCAGTTGCTCTTCAAGCTTGCTGCATTCGGAACGCAGTGCCACGTGTTTTCACAAGCAAGCTCTATCTGAACCGACTGCCTACATCCGCTCAATCCACAACTGCGGCAACAAACCCACACATTTTGTCAACGAACTTGTCCTGCCAATGCTGAGAACCATGCCTTCCGAATCTTTCGAATCCTGCAATCGTCAACGAAACGCAACAAGGATTACTACATTTCGGTTTGCAGTGCCAGATGGAAAAGCCGAAAGATGGAAGCATGCATGTGCGGATGAAAGAGCACATATCTTGCTTTCGGCCTGATTTTGAAAACGGAGTCTTCCTGCAGGCTTTTAACTGCACTGGACTAACTCAACTTTTCCTGTTCAGCTGCCACCTGGAGATTGGCCCTTAAAAAGCTGAGATAAGGAAGAGTGACGAGAAGAGAGGTTGAAGTGGAGACAAAAGCTGACGCAAGCGAATCAAAAGGAAAATCCTGGAGCCCAGGAAGCTAGAGCATCGCCATCTCATTCGCTGGAAAGGTGGGTCCAGGAAGCAACGTTTTTACACGCACGAGTTCAATCCAAATAGTCAAATAGTAACCCTCCCACCTACCCCGTCAACACCGACAGGGGTCCGGGAAGAACTGCAGTGCTAGCACTCGGACATTCTTCTTTTCAATGTGGTGGTCGGGCCCCGTCCCCAGCTCGAAGGCTGGGCCATCTTCGATAGCCCAGTGCCCCGAGAACTTCCAAGGGTGGGCTGGGTGTACCCCCCCGTACATGGGGCCATTCTACCACGAATGGCCACGTGCATTCACGTCGTTCGGCCATATAGCCACTATTTAGCCCCTCTAATCACACATGTCACTCAGACTCATTGACACACAAAACTGAATAGGATCGAACATTCAAGATAACAAGCCTCAAAACACCTTCGGGCTTTCGTGCATTTTCCTTTTTTTGCTGGGTCAGCCGCGTGCCCAACATGAACGGGGACAGGGTCTCGGCGAAGCCTTCCCGAGCCCCGGCCCGCACGTGAGTTAGCGACCGGGCGCGTTCCAAAAAAAAGAAATCGCCTGGGCCACCCACGTGCCCAACAAAAAAACCATGTCCCTGGACGTGACGGGACCTTGAGAGAGATAGAGCCTCCTCCGGCCCTACGCAAGTGAGTCAGTCACCGGGTACGTGCTGAACAAAGAAAGCGCTGGACAAAGCCAACCCAAGCCCGGCCAGGCCGTGCGCATACCGAACAAAAATTAATGCCGCGAAGACCCCAAACAATATGGGAGGTAACGATATAGCAGCGAAGCTGAAACAGAAGCTTCCCTTTTGGTGTCCCTTCCACTGAATCAAACACACAAAGTTCACGCACTCAAAGCATAGCATTCGGTTTGAATCCACTCGCCACCCCGCTTAGTCTCGCAGAGCACCCCGGTGAGCCTAGGGTCACTTAGCTTTTCACTTTGGGGGTCGCGTGGCAGGGGACCCACCAATTTTGGCCCCTGGTGACACCCAAAAAGGTCCTCAAAAAGCCAATGAATTTGGAGAAAAGTGCTCTGCAAGCTTGCTGGCAAGGGGCCATCAAACATGGCAAAGGTGCCAAGTGTGTCAGGTGTGACCAGGATGCCACCTTGACACATGTGCTGTGGGAATGTGATTGCAATTCCCAGAACCAGATGACTTTGGTGTCCTTCCAACCAGGGTCCCAGTCCCCAGCCTATGGACGAGAGGCTTAGCAGGCAAGCAGCCCAGACCCGACATGCACCAAGTGCCGCTTCAGGAACCTGGTTTGCCCTACCCTATCTCAGCTACCCCTCTCAGTGGGCTGGTTCCAGGGGCACCAGCTCAAGCTCTGGTTGGGTGCCACCAGATTGGGTCTTGGGCTGACAAGGCCACCAGCATGCCTTGCTCGGCTAGCTGGTTTACTCACTTAAGTGGTGACTAGAACTGTGCTGCTCACTGGTTTGCCAGGCTTCCATAACTGAGCCGGCATGGCAAAGCCGATCGCACCCATGGGGTCATTGTGAGTCCCCCCTGCTCCACCAGGTTAACCAGCATTGCCTGGTATACGGGCGTGGGGAACGCGTTTTTTTGCATAGCTGAGAGCAGCTTGCATGAGTGCTGGCAAATTGCCATGCAGTCTATCGGGAAAAAGCGCCCCGTGCATGTTTTTGCTGGGTCAGCCGCGTACCGAACAAAAACAAAACGTGCCCCCTACATAGGACAGGACCTCGACGGAGCCTCGTCTGACCGCAAGTGAGTGAGTGACCGGGTGCGTGAACAAAAAACGCAATAGATGTTTACATGTTGTCTCAACTTTCTAGATTCTTGGATAGATCTGAAAATAAGGCGCAGAGGGCACACACACAGACCAGGCCGCACACTACCGCAATGAGGAGCACCAGGGCCAGTCCGCTCCAGGCCACCCCCAACACACCGTCGAGCAGGTAAAGGCCAGGCGCGCTCTGCGCTGAACTTGCCAGGCCGAGTTGGTGTCGAGAGCCAAACACCCCACCAACCACCTGAGGGGAATTCATGGGGATCCGAGGCAGAAGGGGCTCCGGGCTCCATCTCCTCGTGTGCACAACGAGCGTGCTCCCATTCGGCATGGAACAAGTCTCGCTCCACACGCGCTACATGGCGGCGCCTACTTGTGACGATGCCCTGTTCACTTTAAACTTGATCCGGAGCTTCAGACGCGATATCGTGCCTTTGAACTTTCTGGTATCACGAGCACGCAAGAGCAAACTGTAACGACCTCAATTGCTGCAGTACCTGCTCCTCCAATTGCACGTGTGGGAATTGGTGAGGAGGTTGTGATGACCGACCATGATGCGGCATAGGGGGGAGGTGCATCTTTACGACGACTGCCCAACCCTTGGGGTCCCAGCATACCGACGTAGGAAGAGCCGGGGTTTCAAAGTTCCCGGATAGGGGGTACCCTAAGACCCGTGGGGCTGCCCAGCCTTGCCTGCGCATCGTTCGCGGTGGATGCGCGTTCAAGGCTTAGTTCTGTTTACCGCACTCCAAAGAGACCGTCGAGGAGCCTTTGTGTGGCCTTGCGATGGTGTTTAGGTCAGGGAGGGGTGTAAAAGTATAGGGCCCGGTCTTCCTGTCTTGAGTTCTTGAGCTTGATTGCGTGGAGATCCTGAGAGAAGGCTACCGACCGCATCTAAGAAAGTGCAGCTGATGTCCCATCGCTGCCGTGTCTGTGGCAAAGGGGGGGTAACGAAAAGAAACCCCTTGAGCATGTGAATGCAGTACTTTCAGACAGCAGCAACTAGTACAGAAGCAGTTCTTGTGGCGCAAAAGGCATCTGGAACGACACGGAGAAGACCAAGCATGGCCTCCCAACAAATCAAAAGAACCAACCACTTCAACAATTATGAACACCCATTTGATACAGCCCAGAAAAGCCAAGCTGTGGAACGCTACGAACAGGACTGGGTTGCAGGAATGGCAACTTTCAGTGTCAAAAGAACTCTGCCCTTTGACCACACACAGAGAATTGAAGTGGTCTAGCTGATGTTGGCATCATCCTGCTAAGGCTCTTCACCCTGCCTTGCTGCACCTTTCCTGTATGAGCTTCTCGACCACTTTACAGTGCCCTTCGACGATTCCCAAATGAAGCGGCTGCTGACCTTGGCAGATGTTTCTATACAAACCAACTGCAGACACGCGCAGGCCCCCTCTCCGAGGCCCATGCCATATCTGTCTGCCACATCCTGTCGCCGACTCTCAGAGATGTGCTTTTTTGGCTAGGTTTCTTGGAAAGCTACCTCCGGTTGCGTTCGGACTCAGAACCTTCAAACCCGAGGGCCCCCACCACCGCACACCTTTGAAGCAGAAGTTCTGTGACCACATCCAACCGGCCCTCCAAGGCTGCCAAATGAAGCGGCGTTCTGCCTTGGCGATTGGAATGCGTGGAGGTTTCCATACGCACCGGCCACTTGTGTGGGTCTGACTTGCGAGCCTAGGGAACCTGAAACCTGCTCAAGTTTCAAGGCGGCAAACCCCTTCTGTGCCTGAGGCCAGCGCCATCCGAGTCCGTTATGTCCTGCATGCAAACAAAAAAACAAAACACCAGAATGTCAAACCAACACGCACCTGCTTTGCTTCATGGGAATGCCTTGTTGAAGTTTGCCAGACGCAAGCTGACCACGTCCAACTTCCCATACAGCGCCGCAATGTGTAGGTGGCTTTGGCCTTAGCCAACAGGCGTTCGACCACAGTTCAGCTTGAGCAGCAGTGCGCCTCAATCTTCGCCGCAAGAAGGCCAGAAAACAAGCTTGCGATGGCACTAGGCCCTGCCCTCATCCACCGGAAATCCAGCAAACGTACTCTTCCTAGTCCTGTTCAGGCAGAAAGTACAGTTCCTTGGCACTGAATCTGCCCTGCGTGAAGTTCGAGGGCCCACGCCATTCTTCGTTTTGTTTGCCTGCACGGCGAGTGCTCTGAGAGGCTGCTGAAGACCTTGAAACCTCTTTGCCCTGACTCCGCTATAGTGTCCCTGCCTCGTGAGTGCTGTTGTGGAGAAGCAGAACCACCTCCTTATGTCCGTACTTTGCTGCCACATGAATAGGTTGTAGACCTGAGTCGGCCGGTGGCACACAAAGCAATGTCAGGACTGTGCCCGCGGCGGCACACAAGCCAGGATTGAGAAGTGCTAGCTGCATGTGAGTCGAAACCTGTTCCTGGACAACAGGATGTGAGGATAGCGCTGTGAACAGTTTGCGGCCCAATCCTCAAACAGCACTACGCGGCTGCGATCCAAGCGCCACAGCAGCAGGCCAAGTTGACGTCGTCGCCAAGTGCGCGTGACGAGTTTTGTGTGAGTATTCAAGCAGGCTCGCAGACTACTAGTGTGTGCAGGATCAAACCACACAACTCATGATCATGAACCCAGCATCAACCAGGCCTCAAGTCTGTGGCTGTAGACTGTAGACCGAATTCAGGTTCGACGCGAGATTTGGCAGAAGCACCGAGAAGGACACGAGACTGTGGCCAGGAAGGATGACGTGACTGCGAGGCCGAGTAATCTGTATACACGATGCTTTGAGATAGCTCAGAAGGAGAAAGAATGCAATCTCTAAGCATGTTGGACAAGCGCTGCATCCATGCAATCGCAATGACAGTGCATTGCCGCATCACTACAGGCCAGGAAGAAGTCCAGAACATGCTTAGGGGGATTGAGATGCACCGTTCGTTTGCGGCAGTCGTAAGCGATTGCCGCTATTGCATCAGACCGAGAAGTTCCACTGTCGAATATCCTGATGCATAGGTAAAGAAGCCCAAACGTATAGGCTACCCGTAGCCCTAGCTGTAGGGCCTACGGCCGGCTACGCGTAGGCCTGTCGGTAGAGTCTGCGGCAGCCTACGCGTAGGCCTATCCGTAGGCCCTCGTGTGGCCTACCCGTAGACGTATCAAAGGGCCACGGGCAGCCTACGCGTAGGCCTACCCGTAGGCCTGCGGGTAGGCTGCCGGTAGGCCTATCCGTAGGCCTACGGGTAGGCTACCGGCAGGCCTACCCGTAGGCCTATGGGTAGGCTACCGGTAGGCCTGCCCATAGGCGTGTAGGTATGCTACCGGTAGGCCTGGTCGCAGGCCTATAAGTAAGCTATCTATAGGCCGACCCGCAGGCCTACGGGTAGGCTACCGGTAGGTAGGCGACCGGCAGCCCTACCCGCAGGCTTATACGTAGTCGAGGCATAGTAGTAGTGATGATCTCGGGGCTGGGGCTCGGGCACAAAAAGGATGGCCTAAGAGTCCATGCGCGCGTGATTTCTTTTACGGATGCACATGATGTCTCGGGTCGAGAATTTAGGGAGCAGTCTCGAGTCCTCCTGGACCTACGGATAGGCCTGCCTGTAGCCTATCCGTAGGCCTACGGGTAGGCCTACCGCCCTACTGGTAGGCCTGTCAATAGGCGACTGGTAGGCCTACAGGGAGGCCTACCAGTAGCCCACTCGTAGGCCTACGGATAGGCCGAAAGGTAGCGTCGCATAGCCTCTACGTAGGCCTGTACATAGGCTACCCGTAGGCCTAGGGTAGACCTACCCATAGGTCCGACGTAGCCTTAGTTTCGGGCTTCTGTATGGATGCATAATGAAATGGAACAAGTGATTCTGACAAATGCCTATCACATGAGCATTGGCATTGGAACGATGAATGAGAGAACTGGTACTGAAGCCCACCACTTGCCACCAAACGATCTGAATGAAGGAAAAATGTACAGTAAATCCTGGCCATGAGACGACCCACGGAACGATTCACTCGACCTTGATGGCACTCCGCAAAACTTGACCATAGTGCCTAGTTGCTCAGGCTGTGACACAAGGCTAATTGCTGCCATTCAATGTGGGGGGGCTTGGGCAGAAACCGGCAAGAGTATTGTCTTTTGGTGTTGTGGCAGCTTTTCGCCATGGAAGCCGGGTGACTTTCTCTTTAAAGGCCCGCGTTCTCAAACACAAGGCTTACAAGGGGCCTCTGCCTGCTACTAGCAGGGGCCTCTGGAGCCGATCTGTTAGTTGAAACATGCCCCGCTTCTACCCCAAAGCTTGACACAGCCATGCCAAAATCCTGGGCCCCTGCCATCGTAGTTGTGGACATCCTGTGAGCTTTGGAAGAAATCCATCTCAAGTGCCACTGGAAAATCCCAACTGAAGGCCTTGCTGCATTGATGCTGCAGCAGGAACTTGACCACTTCAGCTTGGCCATATCGTGCCGCGATGTGGAATGCCGTTTCATCTTGGCTGCGCCAAATTTGTCTGTTGCTGAGGATGCTTGCACGTGTCCACTGCTCCCCACACTGCACATTCGTCGATACGGAGCTGCTGACAGGCCGGTCGCGACAACATTTTGCATTCGGCTTGCTCGGACTGTTGCGCTTTGGCTCGGATCCAGGGCCCGTGCCAGTCTCTGTCTTGGCTTCCTGCACACTTTGAATGGCCCAAGGCAAGTTGAGAAAACCTTTCACTCCTCGCCCCTGTAGCCCTGCCTTGTTGCAGCCAGCTTTGATCAGTTCCTCAAGCACATCCTGATGGCCACACCTTGCCGCCGCATGAATGGGTCTTAGGCCTCGGTGGGTCGGCGTGCTATCCCATACTCGCAAGAGTCAAGAGCGAAGCCACACAGATACCAAATGTGAAACGAAGAAGTGATTCTCCAGGATATCTCCACTTGGATGATACCCAAAGGCTCCCATTCCTGCAGCCCCTGCGGAAATCTAGGGACCACACCCTCGCCGTCAGTGACTTCCTGCGGGCATGACAATTCCAGGTTGTGCTTGAAGGCGTGTGTGAAGCATCCAATGTGCCCATACTGTGTCAAACTGGAAGCTGTCAAAGGTGTACAGGTTTGAGAGTCGGAGTCAAGAACGCGCACGCTGCAAACTTGAGATTGAAATCCACAACTGTTGGGATGCGCTTGGGTGAATGCGTGGGATTGATGACTAATGAAGGCTGCATCTATGTGGCACCTGAACTACAAACTGTGTGCATGGCTTGCCATCTCGATGCCCCCCCCCTGCCTTGTTGCAGCGCTCGTGTAGCAAAAGTTTGGCCAGCTTCCTGTGGCCCTTCATGGATGCTATGTGAAGTGGTGTTCTGCCTCAGCTGACAATTTGCAATACTGCAGTTGCAATTTGTACTAGGGCAGAATAGCTCGAGCAGCAGCCGACGGCTTAAATTGCTACAACTAGCCAGGCGTTTCACAAACGGAGTAGCTCATGCCTGTTTGGTGCAAGGACAGACCACCCCCGAATTTTTCCCCCTTTCTGCATGGGGAGGCTGGGATCGCCCACCATGCCGATCTGGGTCCTCCTGCACAGGAACTTTGTTGCCAGACTACTGAGTCTGCTTCACATGGGACGACTATCATTGTATTCGAGCTCGCTCCAGCCAAAGATGCTGATAGCCATGCCTCATCCACAGATTCTCTGCCAGATTTTCTGTGGCATTCTTTTTCGTGGGCACTCAAAAGGGGTACTCTGATGGATTCTCTGCACGATACCTTGGGGGCACTCCAGTGATGCTTTGCGACACTCGAGGGCTACTTTGCGGGATTCTCTGGGTGCGGGTGCACCAGGGATACTCTGCGATTCTCTGATCATGTGAACTCCAGGGACATCATCCAGGGACACTCTGCCACTCTGCAGGGGTGCAAGGGGAGATGCGCGGCGCACACAAGGTCCACAGGGAACGGTAGCGCTGACTGAAGAGTCTCACCTACACTTGTATCAATCCACCAAGGAAGATCTAGATGATTGGACAGATCCTCGGAGGTGGCGCACTGCCGATGAATGCCACTGCGGCTTGGCCAACTCATACTGGGACCAATTTCGACATCGTGCCTTTTTGCCTACCTCATGGCAAACGCTACCAGTAAGGAGAAGACGGCGAAGACGAGTTGACGGACGATCCAGGTTGAATATCGACTTGTTCGGAGAACTGAAGCCGCCGGAACCTGTCGAACCGGTGAGAGTCCCAAGGATTGCACCTGAACTAGCTACCATTAGCTACCGATCCAGCAAGCTGAATAACAGGTTACTGACCTCCTCCATTACGACCTACGCAGACAGCATCAGTATCACCGATCTATCGCAGCACCGACGTGCAGATTAAAGTGCATCGTGCTCCACGTAGAGTTTGCCACCACACCACGGAAGAACATGCGACAAATCGCTCATCGAGCCGCGATCATGACAAGGTAACCATCGCCGTGCAAGTAAGCAGCAATGGAACGATGCTAGAATGAGTCACATTTTATGTCAAGTAAAAAATGCAATAACTGCGATCATGAGCCATGACATTAAGAACAACTGCCCTCCCTGCCGCGCGACGCCTTGTGGGCAATGAGAAACTGCACAATTGCTGCACGCCCCCTGGCTGCAGCCAAGTGAATAGGCGCATCTCCTTGGAGGGTCCGAAATTCAACGATGTGGAAGGTTGCCATAATTCTGTGTGGTCTGCCGTAGAGTGATAGTTCCGATGGCACAAGTGGTCTCGAAGCTTGAACATACAGGAATATTAAGATGTTGAAAGCAACATGACGAGAAGTTGCCATTGCACGCTGCACACTGCCTCCACAACCCTGCAATACCCTGCATGAAGTGTGCCACAGCTGGGACCTGCTAGGCTACATGTCTTAAACGACCCGTACTCCCCCAGATATCATGCCGATCATGAACCTTTGCAGATTCCGAGCAACCTGTTTGGGCTCAGCACCAAGATAGCCTCCGAAGCGTTTTCGACAGGATTCGCGCTATTGCAACCCAAGCACCATTCTCATCCAACATCCCCTGCGCACATGAGCACGCATAAGATCAGGTCAGGGCACAATTCACAATCAGGAGTGCTCTGCTATAACACAGTCCTACTAGTCCTGCACTCACGCCATTATCCATGCTGACTTGTTTCACCTCAGGGTGGGGCTGCTTCCTCGTGCAGCAACCTACTTTGCTACTGTGATTATGGCAAGTAATCATGTCAATTACAAAAGGATGAAAACTGCACCATCACGCTGGCTGCGAGATGTGGGCTCAGTCGGGAGGAATCAACAAAAGGAACAGGTACCTGGGCCCATTACACTCCCTCCTGTCGAGCTAACCATCTATCCAAACACAGTATGAACAAGCCAAGGCTTGAGTGCGTGATGCACCTGCCCCGCATCGTTGCCCACCAGCGTTTGGACAACTTGAGGACTGCCACAAAGGGCTGCCAAATGCAGGGGCGTCTGACCTCATGGCCACGCGTCTGCAATTTGTTCCACAAGAGCAGGATCAGCAGGTCTAATTACTGAGCCTACCATCCAAAAAGAAACAAAAACGAAGAAAGAGAGCTTGCTTAAGCGAGTTTACGGCGAGTCTACGGTTTTGTTTCGGCACTGACTCCTTGCATAACGCTGCAGAAGCCAGTGCATTTGCGCTCCTCGTAAATGGCACAGGCACGGAGCCATCAGCGGCAGAAGCTGCAAGAGACCCACCCCGAAGCCCGCTCGTGACCGCGAGGTCGAAAGGTGCTGGACCGCGGAGGCCCCAGCGCGCAACAAACACAAACACATCAGTGGGCCACCGACCCTGCACAGCAACAGCGGCGCCAGCCTCGCAGAAGCCAAGCTCAGTTGGACGGGCCAGTAGCAGACCAGCCTTCTCGACTTCTGGGGACAGGCCCGCCGCAATGGCACTGGCAGCTAAAGCAGTACGCAGGCGGTTGTGGCGTTTGATGCGATCGCCACCACACGGGCACGCAAGGGCATGATCACCATGGCAGTCCATCACACCGACAGGGGGCAATACTCTTCAGAGGCAGCGTCGGACAAGGCCGAGGTCGTCAGCAGGACGGGATGACAACCAGGAACCAGCCCCAGGTTCGGCAGCAAGGCGGAGGTGGGCACGGGAAGCCTCGTCGGGAGCCGCGGCAAGCAGGACTTCCCTTTCAACCTCATCCAGGGCAGAGGGCAGCTGCTGCTGCCGGACAGCGACGGGGCTGACTGGCAAGGCCTGCTGCAGCGCAATGGAGGCATTGCACTGTGCGACAAGGGCTTCCACCTTGCATGTCTTCCCAGGATCCACGCCTGTACCCGACGCAAACAATCAACGTTGTCTTGCACAAACTTTCAGACATGGGCCCCATCCAGCCTGGCGTCCCGGTCGGCCCCAATTGGCAGTTGTCCCGCCAAGTCAACAGCATCTGAATCGCTGGCAACAACTCGCTTGGCCCACAGGCTCCCTAGAAGAGAGCGAACGAATACTGTAAACGAAGTGAAGCACAGTACGCGAAATCAAGAAGTGAGAAACGAAACACGAAGAAAAAACACGAGAGCCAGAGAAGCAATGTGTCTTCTCGTAATCAAGGATGACTCCAGGCTGACTCAATTTCTGAGGCGAGGGTAGTGACTGAGGAAGTCATTACATCGCTCACGCTGGACGGAGCTTACCTGTCAATGAATCTGGCCACCTTAAGCCCTCTCCTAGCCTTGTGGTGTAGTTCACCTCGGCCTCCGGCCGGAAAGCGTCTGTCTCCTTCTCGCCGTTTTCAGAGGACTGTTCCTTTTGCCTGGGCCCCTGGACCCCGCAAAACCTGCACCGCCTTCAAACATTCCATCCATATTTGCCCCGCAGCACGATCTTGTTAGATCGCAAGGCCCTTCCATTTCGCTGGTGGGGAAACCCTCTCTTTGCCGCCTTCTTGGTAGCTCCCACCACTTCACTTGGCAACAAGCACGAGCACAACTGCCGATGGTTGCGCACCGCTTGCTGACACCGTAGGCATTCGCCTCGACGGCCAGGAGGCATGTGCTGCAGGTGCTCGCCGGCGTCTTTTGCCTCGACCCTCGGTCGCTTTCCACATCTGCAACCCCATGTGGACTGGAAATTCCGAGATGCACCGCTTGGATTGCCGACATGCACATCCCGTGGCTTGCCCGGCTGCCACGAGGCCGCGCGCGCAAGCGTTTCCAATTAGTCGCGGCTCTTCATGTCATCTCGTTTCTTGCAAAAACTACCCTTTGGTGGACTGTACTGGGGCCGTGGCCTTTGATGGTGACAGCATCCTGCGAGACTTCCCTCTCTGCACACCACTTTGAGGTTGGGCAAAGAGGGCAAAAGGACCTCGGGCTTAGGTTTTGAAAGTACAAAAAGCAGGTTCAAGGGTGAAGGATGGTTGAGCGTAAGATGTGGGGTTTCGATTGCCCTAAGCCCTGAAGTATGAACCCCGGCTTCTGCCTCCAGCCCACATCGGACACAGGTCTCAGTGCTTAGACGTGCTTAGGGCAAACCCTCGGGACTCAGGATTCATCATTGCGTGTCAGAACGCGCTGAATGCCTAGCTAGGGGTTTGGGGTTTTGGGAAGCTTCATGGTCCTCAGCATGTCGCGAAACTGGAAGTCCCCACAAAATACCCTCTAAAACCTGGATCCTGAATACCAACGGCTAGCATCGTAAGCCATGCTCCCAGCACACACCAAGAAGGTAGGGAACTGGGGCACCTACCCATGAACCTCTAAGCACAGGGGCAATATCAAAGCCCAAGAAATAATTGGCTTTGGGTTTTGAAAGGATCGTTGAAAACATCAAACAAACCTTCGCCTGCACATTCCTTCAAACCAGGAGTTCTGGATACTTGCTGAGTCTTGCGATCCTGTCCCCATACTGGACGTGCAATGTGGTGTGCATTATGGCCTGCTTGGCTTTGACCTCCAACAGAGCTTTGGCGACCTCATCATGGTCCTTCCGAGCCGCCTTGTGAAGAGGCCTCTCTCCTTGAGACATGGGCTAAATTGCTCAGCTGCTAAGCCCCTTGTGCTTGTTTGAAGCGGCTTGATGGCTTTCCAAGACCCAAGCCCAGGTTGTCTTCAGAATCCTGCGGGCAGCTGAGCGCCACGAATCTGATCCGAGAGGACATCTGCCATGGATGACTGCATGACAACTGCGGAAACCCACCATGTTGGCGTGTTTCTCGATCAGTTTCTCAAGGACTGCCACAAAGCCGGTGTACGCTGCCCAATGCATTGGTGTCTCACCTTAGGCCAAGAACAACAAATCGAAATGTAAGGAATTCATGCTTCGTTGCCGCGCACAAAACTCCGCAGCAGCTATGAAATGCAGAAGGGGTGAAATGGTCAAGACAGAAACGTTCAAGTTGACGTTGAATTCACAGCTTGGCATAAGGTGCAACAACCTCCCCTGAGCTGCGTAGACTCTAGAGGATACCACCTGAGAGCATCATCATCTGAAGGCCTGCTGTCCCAACAAGTATACTGGGTTCAACAACATTGCCAGCATGGTGCCACCATGGATGGTCAACTCTTGCATTTACAAATGCAGCAACACCATGCTCATCTGGCAGGCTGTAGATCTGTAGTGGGAGTTTCGACGTTAGCAGCAGCAGCAGCAGCAACAGCAGCAGCAGCAGCAACAGCAGCAGCAGCAGCAGCAGCAGGAGGCTCGCTGCCAAATACCTAAGGCTTGTGCCATCCTCATTCCTGGCTTCCAGGTCCGCTGCCTGCACGGGAACTGCACTAGTTGACGTGCAGGGCAGCACGGAGGAACTACGAGTTCGACTGCAATGCACTCGTGCTCCTATTCGCTACTGAAGCTCGCAAGCTTGAGTAGCAACACGGGGATGCACCATAATTAGCCCCAAAAACAAAAAAATATACTGGAATGGCGATTAAAGAAACTGGCAGTGCCAGTGGGAGCAAAATGTGGATGCACAAGCTGCACGCACGTGCAATTCAGAGTGTTGCTCTCAGCTCAAGAAACCAGCCTTGAGCAGCAAGTGCTCAACGATCCTCATTTGCCCTTCTTGAACGATCTGATTTTTGCCTGCTTTGGCAGCATAGTGCAGAGGTTGGGCTCCTTAGTTGTTTGGTACACGGCGTATGGACACATAGAGAGCATGCAACTGACAGTGAGCAAGGATGAAACATGGCCCGAAGAGGAAGGACACTCCGAAGTCCAGAACCAGGCCACGACCGGGTTTTGTTGGCTCTTTGATAATGTCCGGCAGCCCCTGCGCACATGTACTGCACCATTGCGGCATCATCTGGAAATGCAAAAACAATGAGTGCAGCACCACTGGTGATGAGTATCAGCTGCCTGCTGGACCAAAATTTCCACCACAGTCTTCTCACCGTCTCTTGCTGCCCAATGAATTTCCTGTAGGCCTTAGCAATGTCTACAGTGTGCAGGGACATGCGGGCAGTCAGCAGGCGTTACTACATGTCAGAGGAAGACAGCGCTGCTGCGATGCAACGTAAAGAATGATCATCAAGAAAGACCTGTGCTGACACTGTGCTGAAGCCACCCTGGCAGCACGCAGCTGCAGCAACTATTGAAAAACTTGATAAGTGCTGAACCTGCACACTGATCCTGGCAGGGATGGCGCGCGTTGAAGTCAATCGGTAGAGTTTCAGCTTCTGCTGCTGGCACACTTGTTGCTCACACTAGTTGGTATTCTTAACACTCTCACGGTTGTCGCCCTCATCACGGTTGTCGTCCTCATTACCCTCATGACAGCGCTAGCTTGTACAGTCTGCGTCATTACCTTTGCTATCAGACAGAGCATATAGCAAAGTGCTTCACCAGCCTCGATTGGCTGAAGTTCCTTCCTCTTCTTTTGCACCTGAAGGGCTTTGAATCCCAACCAATTGCTTCCACGTTTGACACTTAACACTGCGGAGCTCAAGAAGCCTGGTTTTGTCTTTGGGCCACAAACAAGTTGGTGCAACTTGCCATCTCTACAGTGGGGGTTGAGGCAGACGTCGCATGCCGCATGTGTAGTGCTATCCTGTGTGTACCCGACCACATTTCTGACTGCAGGACACATAAGACACATGCAAAGCCATGGGCCTCCACCAGCCTTTCGTCAATGTCATTTCGTCTGCACAAGGAGTCCCTCTCCAGACGAGTTAGAGTGAGGTCCAGCAGCCGCTTGCGAAAATTAAGGATGTCTTCCACTAGTACTCTATTGCGTTGGCCTGGTTGCATGTTGTCCAGGCATTTCTTCAAGTAGGCCACCTCACCCCTTTGGGACACGCCCAATTCGGGCATTCCCTTGTTGGCCTCGTTGCACTTCAGTTTTGGCGGCCACTTGTACTTCGTCATCCACTCAGTACTGTCGTCATCTGGACCTTGAGGGGTATCTCCTGCTTTGAAGACCACCACGAGCGTGTGATTTTTTTCGACTGCCTTTTCCAGCTGCTTCCTCCATTCTTCGAACCATTTGCAACCAAAATCTGCCTCGCTGCCGTACAAGGACATGCACCAACATGGTTGCTGTGGATCATCTACGTTTTTTGCGTGATCTGCGAAATGAGAGCTTCCTTTCGGCAGGAACACGCAGGCCGTACTTCCAACCGCCTGGTAGCCGTCTTCTCCGCCCTGCAACTTCGTCGAACTCTCCACAAGCATCCCCCAGTCTGCCTCATAAATTCCAGGAAAAGACACGATTGTCTTGATGTCTGTAGTGCTTTCAGCCGAAACAAATCCCACGAACGAGGGATCGGACATGATGACGCGCAATCGGCAGCGACCATCCAAGGAACGAAAACTCTGCACAGCAACAGGGCAACAGCATCATACAACGTCATGGGCCTTTAGCGCTGTTCGCCAACCTAGAGGTAATCTATGGTACTCTACTTGTCATATAACTGCTTGCGACAAGCACTTCCCCACCTTTTGCATAGACTCTGGTTTGCTGGAGCTGGAGCAGCCATGCGGGCGTAGTGAGCAAGAGCATAAGATTTTAAGACCCAGGTTGCAGTTCATGCCACGGCTTTCGACAAGCTGTCCATGAGAAAACGGCCATAGGTTAAGGCTATGTTCTTACAACTTGAAGGCTTCATAGGGTTTAGGTTCAGTTGCCTTCGCTAAAATGGGGTGGTGTAAAGGGTCTTTGTTTGGGCTTTAAATTAGGTTTTACGGATTGGTTTTTTTGCGTTTTACGATTCCTTGCAGGTTGGAGCGTCCCACGCCCGCTTCGCATTCGCATTTTACAGGTGCAGGACTCAGTCGACGTGCCAGACATCAGCACTGCATGTCGAACAGTGGTCTCCCTCGCATGCCTTGCCACGGCAGACGCGGGCGGAGCGCTGCGAGTGCTATGGGGCCAAACCGGTCCAGCATTCAGGCTACCATTTCCGGCGCGTGGCCTGTTCGGCGTTGCGGTTGGCGCTTGGTTGCTGCAGCACACCAGTATCAGACGGCTGCTTGTTCCACATATTTTCTTAGCTGCGAACTCGAAGCGCTAGAACTGCTAGCACGTTGCTAGCGCTTGGGTTGTTTTGGCCGGTGAAGCAATGAACGAGTTGCAAGTGAAGCTTCCGCTAAACACACGAAGTGCAACACTACAAATTCCCCAACCTTAGACTGACTAAGACAACCTTGCGGCTCTAAACCCAAAGAAACATGCGAAGTCGCAAGCATGTTCAACGCAGTGGAAACAGTGGACATGCGGTTCAGAGTTCAACTAATCCGCTACGTCTGCAGTAGGACGGGAAAACTCTGGAAGTGCAGCGGACACTTTTTCTGCCCTGCGAACCAAAGGGAAAGGGGACGAGTCTGGAGTCAGCTTTCACACGAGAGTGCAAAAGGAAGGAAGGAAGGAAGGAAGGAAGGAAGGAAGGAAGAAGGAAGATCGGCCACGCGAGAATACTGGTTGCCACAATAGAATTATAGTTCACGGGCGATATAATTACTGGCCCGTATAATAATACAACTACGAAGAGAGTAAGTTCACTGCATTATAATACAAGCGAATGAAATAAGCGCATGATTTAATGCATGCACTGAGCGAACGAAGTAAAACCACCAATAGGAAAGTTATTCCTGATCCAATAAATGACAGGGAATTCCAGGAAGTAAAAGAATCTGGAAAGGATGGGATTCTTTTTGGAATAACATTAAATCCTAAGAAATGCATTGGGGAAACGGCAAGAAGAATGCCATTAAGTTTGGGTCGAGTATTAAGTGAAGGCCCGCACAGACATCAGGCGTGCTTGGCCATTGCTGCCCAACACTCGGGTTGCACACTGTGAGCACCAATCAAGAATATTCTCGCACAAAATAGAAATGAGATCCCTCAGAAAATGACTCAGCTCAAATCACACAATCAACGCACTCTGCTTTTTCCATCGGTGACTGTGGGAAGTCAACGCGCGAGTGCCTCACCGCACATTTGTGGGGCATGAAGCTCTGCAAGGTTCTGTGCTGCACACATGTGTGCAAGAACCCCGGCTGTACAAACTACTGGCTTCGCATGCCAAGGTCGCGGCAGAAAATGTGCGAAGCGACGCACAGGATTGCAAATGGAGTAGGTGTCAGGACATAGGATTGCAAGTGGGACAGGCACGAACCGCACCACTTGGAGGGTGAAAAAGCACAAGCTGGGCACGAGAACTGATCACGTTCTCGGATGCACACAAGGGCGGGCAGGGCGGGCTCAAAATTATGTTGAGCATGTCACATGTCAAGTGCACGATCTTATGCAAGGCTCAACGGCATGTGTGAAGCTTGACATGATGCCGGTACAGCCTCGAAGGCCGGATCAACACAGCACTCAAGTCTTGCAAGCAAGCCAAAGAATGTTGTGCCCATAAAAAGACCGTCGCATCACATGAAAACACAAATTCTTTAATACCTAGACTCCTAGACCCAAACTTAAAATGCTATCAACCTGTTGACCGCTAGCTTAAGTTTGGGCCGAGTATTAAGTGAAGGCCCGCACAGACATCAGGCGTGCTTGGCCCTTGCTGCCTAACACTCGGGTTGCACACTGTGAGCACCAATCAAGAATATTCTACAAAATAGAAATGAGATCCCTCAGAAAATGACTCAGCTCAAATCACACAATCAACGCTTTTTTTTGGCGGGCGCCTCTTTACTACATCAGTAGCACAGTAGGCCGTTCTTGCGGGTCTCGCAACTGGGCGTGAAACAGATCGCCAGAAAAGAGAAACCAGAACCGAACCACCAAACCACCCAACACACCAAAACAGCCACACAACAACAAACCGACAAACCAGAAGGGCAGGGCGACGAAGCTACTAAGAAGATCCCACGCGCTCAGTACCCAAGCTCGTCGAAGTAGTTCCTGATCAGAGCCATAGCAGGTCGGGTGGGGAAACCGCAAAATGCGATGAAGTGCCAGCGAACAAAAACCACCATCACGCAATCATCCGAGTAAATTGGCAGCCTGCAAGTTGGGTAGCCAAAGATCTGCAGCTGTCATTGCCGACGTTCCGAGAACGGGCGGCGTGAGCCCAAATCACACAATCAACGCACTCTGCTTTTTCTGTGAAAACACAGCAGCAGCGCGCTGAACCCTCTTTTTCTCACGACTTGAGCCAAAGTCATAAGCCGGAGGCTTTGTCAGTAAAACTCTTTACACACAGGTGAAAACTCTGCTCTGCCACGTGTTCTCCACAACCACAAAACAAACTCAAACGTCAGTGGGAGTTCTCGGAACCTACCCAACTGCACCTAAAGCAAGCAAAAACGTGCACAGTCACTTCTACAGCTTCAAGACACACATTCCTACAACTCAAGCACTTCAAAAGGCTTTCCCACTTGAAAGCAGCACTCCCGTCGAGCCTCCAAGGCACAACTACGGAGTTCCCACAACTACACACACAACTCTAAGCCAGCATGCAGGACAACAAAGTTAACATTTCTTTAGATAGGAACTTTCTTACCAAGCGCGCAAGGCATGAGCAGAGCTCAGTCAACATGTCAGACTTATTAAACCACGCAAGTCGGAGGTGAGACGGACGTGGTACCGGTTTCGGTCCGAAGTTCTTGCTCGTAGGCTTGACCTGAGACCGGGACGTCCAGAAGAGAGACTGTGAAGAATGTCAGGTTTTCTAGATATCCACGCCAACTGGCAGGGAAATGACTCCGCCGACGTTCTAAAATATGGGGACAAACTTGGCAGATGAACTTGCAGGCTCTATAGCCTTGAAGGCAAGACGCGTTATCCACAGCTGCAACTTTCCACCTTGGTGCCCATATTTAGCCGTTTAGGGCACGACTTACCTTGAACATAAGTCCGGCACCTGACTACAGATTGGCTTACCGACCCTCTATACAAGCTAAGCGACGGGTGGCTCTGGCGTTCTCGCTCTTACTAACCAAGACCAAATATCCATGCCGGAGCCAGCGCTGAACATTTCTTTCACCCAGCCGCTTAGCACGGAGCAGACGCGGCCATGAAATTGGACTGCGGCAGCAATCTGCCATTGGTCTGCCATCTTGACCGCCTACCACCAGCACCATACAAGAGGGCAGCAGAGAGACCTTAACGTGCTGGACAAGCTCCAGACAACACGCGAACAGCAAAACTACTGATCCAACTCTGCCTCCAGGCCCGGAGACGATTTCTATTTTTGCACACAGCAGTACAAGGCTGACATACACTGCCATAACTTGTACCAGTAATTTTATTCAAGATATAGTATTACCCCACCCAAAGGCGGGGGTCCATAAGGCGCGTCAATTAAGTCCTTCTTTTTTACAAACCGCTGCTGCACTTTTGAGCAAGGTTCGGGGGGGGGGGGGTTCGAACCTGGGGGTTCGAACCAGGGGGGGGGAACAACAACATCGAGAACCTGGGTTCAACCTGGGTTCAATCTTTTTTCCCGAGTTGAGATTGGTTTGCGAGTCCACCGTCTTGGTGTTTGGGACCGGAGTCCGTACTGCTATGTACCACTACACTATCTTGAGCAGCAGAGGCGACTGTACAGGTAAAGCCTTCTGCTACTGGTACCACTACTACTGAGGGTGTGACCTCAATCCTACGAGGTCTTTGCCTCAGCCTCTCACTAGAGGGTGGCACCTCTTGCTGCTGCTAAGCTCCACCGAGCTCCACCATCCGCTCCTCTTCTCCCTACTCGGTCAGGGGGTAGCCCCAGTCTCTGGGGTAGCCCTTTTTCTCTACCCACATCCCTTTCGTGTCAGTAAGACGGCAGCCCTCTGGGTGCACAGCAAGAAATTCTGCACTAAACACCCTGCGACCCCTCGGCCACAGGTACCAATTACCTGTACAAATTGGTTGCTGGCCCTTCTAAACAGGGTTGTCCGTCTGCTTTGCTGAGAGGGAAATCTGCCATATCTGCTCAGCACGCAGCCCTGTGGGCCCTGGCCAGTGAAGTCCGCCAATTCACAGCCCGAGGATGCCACCTCCTCACTCCTGGTTCTGGTCTGGCACTCCAGGTCACTGTGCGGAGGGTTCCACAAAGCACCTCATGCCTAATTACCCCGTGCGAGGGTGGATGAGAGGGTTTACATCACCGGGTTAGGCCACTGCACCCCTAAACTCGTTATCTTTGGCGCAGGGTCGACGACCTCCCCTCGACAAGGCGCGGGGCCACGCTTTCCCCTCGATTCCCCATGCACAAGTGCACTGGCGCAGGGAACGACGCCGAGCAGAAGCCAAACCCAGAAACATAAACCTCAGGTAGCACCTAGAGAAGGGGATCTCGCCTCTGGTAGCTGTCCCTCTCACAAGTGCCACA